ATAAAACATTGCATGACAATATTTGCTTCAAGTACAGAATCACTACCTACTATCCATAGATTATGAAATAAGGATTTTACGAGAAAAGTGCTCGCAGCAATTTTCGTCATAAATTTCTCTCCAAAATTAAGCTTATTAACGTAAAATGTACTTTAATCAGTTAATCAGCTTTAGTTATATGTAGTTCAAAAAATATGGTATCGTATATGTATTTTATTTCATAAAAGATTTTTTTGTTGCGAATATATCTCATATTCTTGTTTGTGTATTTGAAAAACAAAAACTATCAAAACAAAAGATCCACAAATATTTTATATATTTTCTATAGAAGCGAATAAACGCGTTGCCCGATCGAGATCGTTGTCGATCACATGAAAGATCGAGATCAAAAAAAGCATCGCGATATTGCGCGGGTCATGATAAATAAACAAATTGCATGTATAATGAATGATGGAATTCACTCACCGGTTGCCACACCTGCGCTACCGCCTGGCCAAATCCGCCAGCTGTTCCATCGACGCCAACTCCTCGGTGATTTTTGGCACCGATTCAGCTCCTCCATCCAGGTAACACTCACACACGATACGCGAACGAGAAGACAACGCGACTAATTACGATCGCGTTAACGTAACAATCTTTCGTGCGTTATGCGTCTCTTAAAACTTGTTCACCATCCTCTATTTTTTTCAGCGTTAATGCTAGAAACGCTTGATGTTTCGCACGTTGGCTGTCTCACCTTCACCCGTGCATTTTATTTCTAGAAAAATATACGAAAATAATATATATGAGAATAAAATACGCTTGGAATAAACGAAATTATAATTTATCGTTATCCGTGTATACATATAATTTGCTGTGCAATGTGCTGCGATAATCATCCGGTAAATTGTTGAACAATTTTATATTTAACATATACTATGCGTAAAATGAAATAATGCGTATATGGGAATTTATTCGTGAATATTTTCTATGATTTTGTCATATTCGTATATGCAAATTAATTTGTGCAAAATGCAAAGTATAAAGTTCGCTGTTATAATTTAATTTCATGAATTTTTAAAAATTGTTCTTTTGAAATGTAATCGTTTCTTTCACGGTTTATAATATCCGTATATTCATATTCGTCCATAAAATATTTTTTGAGAAAATAGATTAAAATATATTAAAATGAAAAAGAGATACAAGAGAGAGAGAGAGGAAGATATTTGCTGTTTCGACAAAGTCGCAAACTCGTGAATTAGATTCGGTTGAATTCATTCGATATACGGTTAACATATGTACTATATATTCGAAACGGGCACGATTAGAAGATCAAATAAAGCGCGTTTGTTTACGATCAGTAATGGTAATAGCGATGTCCGTTTTGCAGCACGATCAGCGTGACACGATATACTCGGGATAAGTAAATAACGCGAGATATAGATGCGAGGGATGTTTCGACAGATAACGCGCACGTTCGTGATTGCGAAAACGCGATTAAATTGCCGATTGCGCATACGTATATTCTAATTATTGCAAACGTCACGATCGACATTCATCCGACACCGCAATCACTGGCAATAATTATTAGCGCGCGCCGCTCGTTTTTCGACGAAACGAGAAAAGAATGAACTCGCTGATGCGAGTTCTCGACATGCAAATTGCGCGCAAAACCGGAAAATGGTGGATCGATATATGCCAAACTTGATGCAACTTACTTTTCTCTTTTTCTCTCTTTCATTATATTGATATATCAATAATTAGATTAGTTTGTTATCTCGTGATATGATTATTCAATTGCTTTAACAATCGCGAGTTAAACAAATGGTGTAATTGAACAATTAATTGGCTCGAAATATACTGTAACCTGTTCAAAACATATCAAGACATGTACATAATCGAAACACAAACTTGGAAAATTGAGAAGATATTGATAATTATGACAGTACCTCAGTCATTTTACTCACACACACTTCCACGACTGATTCGACATACACGGAATCACTTCCGACGAATAAAAATTGCACGAAACACGGAGCGATAGCACTGAGCGACTACAAAGCGGTGCGACACGCAACACTTCAAGCGAGATAAAGAGATACAAAGATGGCGGATGGCGGTCTCGCGCGGCAACATGCGCGTTGTACTTCGATATTCGAGCGATCGAATATCGAAAATCGAATATCGAAAATCGCAGTAAGCGTGCAGCAAACGTCAAGCGTCTTGCACAATTATATATGTATTATGTATACGAGAATACGAGATTATAATATATAATTATATCCAAATAACGGTAATAATAATAATTATTATTATTATATTAAATTATTATTATCCTATGAGATTATTTAATTATTATATACCTGTGATCTCTCCACGAGAAGTGATGCGATGTGACTCGGAATAGATAGATAATTCGCGATCCACTTTTTCAAGTCGTTCATCAATATGATAGAAATGCAAATGTCAATTGGAAAATCGAGAAAATAATAATACTTTTGTCATCTGGCACTTTAATTCGACACTTTTGCGACTGATTTGACACGCGCGGATCATTCGGAACGGATAAAAATCGCGTGAAACACGGAGTGGCATCGTCGCGCGACGACCAAGTGGCGCGACATGACGCCGAGAGAGAGAGAGAGAGAGAGAGAGAGAGAGAGAGAGAAACAAAGATGGCGGTCTCGCGCCAACATGCGCGCTGAACTTCACGGCGTAGATATAAAATAAAGCGTCCGTCGCACACTCTCGAGCCTCATAAATATCGAAAGGACTAAGTATACTACCTAAGATGACCTCGACGAGAAGACTGATGACGAACATTGACGTCCTCCAACGCGTGACACCCTATACATATACGTGGGTGTCGGTGCACATGTCACGTATAAAGCTGCACGATTCGGTGATAAACTACTTTTTGTTCGCGAGACACGAGATTGCTTTGACATTTAAAAGAAGAAAAAGATTAATCGTGAAATTGCTGAAAGAAGCGTGCACTTTCGAAATCCGTCTTTCTTTCTTATTCCGCCGCGAGCTGAGTTTTTTTGTTTCCAGCGGCAGTCAAGTCCATTCTATTTGTCGAAATTACGTCTGTTCGACCAAGGGCGCGAGGGAGAAAAGTAGGCTATCGACGACGGGTTTCATGAAATTTCATCCAAGTTTCTTATTCTATGCGGATCGTAAGAAAAAGAGAGAAAGGGGAGGGTTCGTGTCGCGTTAGCTAACGCTCCGTCGACTTTAAATTTTCTAATAAAAGAACGAGACTCTTTTATCTCGCGTCTACCCGTACGTTACACCAAGGAACGCTGAAACGCGATATGCTGTATGTATATAGTAGACGTCAATAGTGATCTTGATCTAATCTTCGTACGCCATATCGATCATCGGGAGCATCCACCTTCCATACGTAGCCGTAAAATGCGCGCCGCTATATAAGCAAAATAATTGTAATAATAACTACGTTTTGCTTGCTATTTATATATTATACAGGGTGTCTGATATAAGGTGTTACACCATAAAAAATATACAAGTAGAGCTTGTTCTTGGGAGACAATTTTTTCTCAACAAAAATATTGAGACATCAATAATTTTCGAGTTATAAGCGATTGAAAATAAAAGGTTTTTCGCAAATTAAGCCTTGTGGGAATAAAATATTAACAAAACCACATTCTCCAGTTAATTTCAAGTAGAGTTTACTTTAATCAAATTTTAATTCAAGATTTAGTTATAAAGATACACGATGGCAAAAATTGGGAATATGCAAAAAATGCTGGCCTCGCTCTCGACATTTTTGCTGAGGAAAAATCATCTGCAAATAACAAGATCTACTTGTATATTTTCGGTGTGACACTTTATGTCAGACACTGTATATTTGCGCATTTAACATACGGTGTAATATATTTTATCGAAAGCGATTAGAGACAAATTTATATATTTCATTCGCGCTACATGTTTTATACTACAAGGATTATATTTACTAAAGATTTCAAATGCATGTGCCCTTTTAAAGCTGCTCGTTATATCCGAGTAATTCGCTAATGGAGCGAGTCCATTCCCGGAATTGCTGGTTTATGCAGCGGAGAAACTTGAAGAATGAACGCATATGATGACAGAGCTTATAAGTTTTTTTTCTCCATTTGTGGCAAATTCGATGAGAGCTTAAGCCATTTCTGTCTTAAACAGTTCCGCGTAATTAACTCTCACGGCGTGAGATTAATTTCGCTTTCGCGAAAAACCACGATGCCGAAGAATACGGCTTCGCGACGATAATTTTCACAAAAACGTTCCGCGAATATGAGCCATTCACGGCAGACTGAAAATTGTATGGACCAGAAGAAAAAGAACTTTTTTAAAACGTAGTTTTGTATCATTTCATATATAGGGATAAAAGAGGAAAGTATTCGCGGCCTACTAAAACTGTCAAAGAGTCGACGATAAAACATTATTGAAAAACATTCATTACTACTTCATTAAGCACAAATTCTAATCAACGGTAAATCAATAAGAAATTAATTATAAAATAAAATAAAACAGATTTTCTATAACAGAATCTTTATGTGTGCGTATAGATTATTTTTACAAAAGATTTTATATATTACATATATGTGATACAAAAGTTAAAAATCCATCCATTACCATTGCGTTGAGAGAGTTTAATATTTTAATCCTAATTTTGCTTTTATATATTATATACGAAATTAATAAAGTACGCATACAATCTTATATATATCGTTTGTTTTAATACTTAAACTATTTTTTTTATAATTAAACTTACTGTAAGTATAACAAATACATCAATATAAACTGCATTATAGTTTTAAATATTTTGTACAATATTCCTTTTAATTACATAAAAAAAGTGTCAAACACTTAATTGACAACGTAATGTTTTGGCGTAACTCTTATCTGAATATACATATATCACATACATACAGCTTTGTCAAATTATATACATACCTATGTATATATTATAATTAGTAAATTAATTCAAAATAATTCGATTTCAAATATTTGTGATTTATTTTAAAGAATCTTATATTTAATTTAATTTAAAATTTAATATAATATAATCACAGAGTTCACTCACCTACATAGTTGTTAAGAAGAAAAATAACAATAAATCCAGCAAATACCGAAATAAATTGCAAAATACTTGCAAATCTGCGCAAACTCTTGTGCCATTTCGCTCTTTCTCTTGGAAGAACTTCACTCACAGTAACATACAATAAAGTTCCGCCTGCCAGACCTTGCAAGATCGGTAATGCTACCTTTGACCAATCTGTATCTACCTGCATGCATTCGAAGCAAATGATTGAATTAGATGTTTTCTACAGATATCGCGACTTTAAAGTTGAGTCAAAGAATAAGAAAAAACTGAAGAACGCGAAAGAATTAAAGAATCTTTTCTCACCTGAAATGTTAGCATGCCAATACCAATTCCGATAACAGATCCAATGGCGAATACGAAAATTACAAATACTAATTTAGGCACAGATTTGCTGACTCCCGCCAATTCCAGTCCCAAGCAGAAACCGACGACAAATTTGTGTGACGCTACGGCTCCGGTTAATAACAAAACCTAAAAGAATATTGGTATATATAACATACAAATATTCCACGAATTAGAGAATATTCTGTATTGTTATATAAATGTTATTATATTCATCTGTTTTAATTTACTTTGTACAGATATATATATATATATATATATATATATATATATATATATATATAATGCATAGAGAACATAATATTTTTTTTCCAGTTTTTTTTCAGTAATTAAATTAAAAATTTAAACTTATTTAAATTTAATTGAAAAGAGAGAATTTAATTGAAAAGAGAGAATTTAATTGAAATATTTTGCTTGATTATTCATCGTATTATTGTATTATTATTGTATCCACAGCGTGGACTCTAAATTAATTTTTTCTCAGAGTTGATTATTTAAATTATATGCAACATGCCTCGGCGATTTGCGTTTGCAGCCCTATCGCTAGTCCTTCGAGGATGGCGTGTACAGTAAGAGCGAGGACGAGACCAGCAAGGCCGGTGTTAGTGTCGGTGTATTGCTCCCCGTGATTTCCATGACACAAAAATGTAGTCTCCTCACCCGACGAAGGGCCGTCGTGTGCGTTGCACCGCGTCGTACCATAGCCGCCAACCGTCCATGTGCTATTGGGGTTGTTGTTACCAAAGGAACTCTGTCGATGATTAAACGACAATCTCGCATCTCCCTCGGATACGTAAACTTTGCTGTCTTGTGTGGCGGCATTGTAGCTGACACCATGGGAATGGTCCCGACAGTTGAAACAACTGAAATTCAAGAGACAAAATTCGATCAAAGAGAAGCAAAATCGAAATTATGCAAAGATATGCGCATTGAAAGCGAGGAAATTTCACTTTATCGTTTGTTCAACCGGCATTTAATCGCTTCTTCTATCATCCAAAATTATTTCACTTTTTACTTGGGAATACTATATTATTTTTTTACATTTTTTAAAGTTGAAAAGATTGTAAAGATATAAAGTTATCGTGCACAAGAGAATTGTATATTGCATTAATATGTATTATTCAAGGATATAAAACTTAAAAATGCAAAGAGGTGAATCTAAGCAAATAATTTAAATACAGATATAAAACATATTGCATTAAGACACTCAAATATGTATATTCGACCTCGATTGTTATTGCGATTGCGAATAGTAAAAAATATTTCAGGGTCAACTTTATATGTTACTATATAGCAACATGGAAAGCTGATATCGAGTCTCGACGTTCAACAATGGTTCAAGTTCAATCATTTTCCACATTCCCTTGTGTGGATATTATTACTAGATAAGCTCACTTTTCACCTTAAGGGAAACTACTCGAGAATCAAGGATAGTTCTTCGAGTGTGCGATTATTTTGCGCGAAAGATTGCTATCGTTTGTACTATCAGAATTTATTTCACCCGATGGAGAACAAAGAAAAGTAACAAAAAAATGTATCTTTCGCCATCATCTCTTTTATATCAAACTTATAATCACCGTTAATTTATCTTTGTGTAAAATTTCCCCTATAATAGTGATGAGAAGACAAATTAAGTTCCTTTGCTTTTCAAAATAAAATTGCGTAATCTTTTACGAAAAAAATCGTGATTTGAAATTCGATAAAATTATTTAGAAGATATTTGATTTATTGTCAGAATAATAAAGAAAAAAATTTATAAACAATACATTATCATATCTGTATATATCTATTATTTCTCTTTATTCTTGCATCAAAATATATATCTATATATAATATATCAAGTTACTTCAATTATTATTAAGAAATTTTTCACACAAAATTCTAAAGCAGCACGCTCTAAATCGCTTTGTAATTTTTATATGATAGTCTCTTTGAAAACTTTAACTTTCACTGTGAACAAACATTGTCTCATCGGTTATCGATGATAACGAATGATCTCTGATACTATCGCAACGTTTTATATTAACGTCGCATCTATAGGAAAAATTTTCGCAGAGACGACAAAAGAAAACCAGATACTATAATAATTATTTTTTTACTATTTTTAATTAAATTATATTTATCTTCGTATTAAATATTAATAGATACAAATTGAAAAAATAAGATAAAGGTTATATATAATTACTTTAACAAAAAGTGTATTACGATTTCGCGTCAATCATTTTTCTCACGGTATAAACGCGCTCCTTCAAGAATATATTATTTGTAAATATATTTTATATATTAAAAAAATATATATATACGGAGTGTCCCAGAACTAGTAGTAAACCTGTTAATAGTAGATTCCTGGAATAATTTAAAGACGATTTTTCCTCAAGAAAAATGTCGAGACATCAATAATTTTCGAGTTATAATAAGCAATTGAAAATATATAAGGGATCTTCCGCAAAGTAAGCCTTGTGGAAATAAAATATTAACAAAATTACATTCTTTTATTAATTTCATGTAGAGTTTACTTTGATAGAATTTTAATTTAAGGCATTATATATATGAAGATACATGATGAAAAAAATTGGGAACATGCAAAAAAATGACGGCCTCCCTCGATATTCTCGCAGAGGAAAAAACGTCTTCAAATGATCTCAGAAACCTGCCATTAACGGGTTTACTATTAATTTTGGAACACCTTGTATATTATAGAAATACTCGTACATCCGAAGCTCTTTGACCTACCCTCGCTCGTGCGTACTCCTATGCCTGGAATCATCGTGAACCTCGGTCGCGCTGCTTAATGAACAAAAATAATGAACGCATTCCTCGACTAGGTAAAGTACGAGGAAGCCGCAGGAGTACACCAGTTCGGCGTGATTCGGCAAGTCCTCACGCACTTCTGGCAATACGTGCAGCATCGAAGTGGCGAAGAGGACTCCGGCGCCGAAGCACAGGGTGCAGGAGAGCAGCAGTTTCCGCTGTAGACGTTGCGCGCGTGAGATGAAGCAAGCGGGAGTGATGCCGACGAAGAAGCTACCGGCGCCGATCAGCACCATCGACGCCAGCTTCGCTTGCACCGCGTTACCAAACATCGCCATAATAGTATTCTTTTTCTTCTTCAGTGCATCACCAGCGATCTCGACGCTACGGAAATTCAGACGTCGAGATTGGTCTCGTTCGACGACAATTTGATATATAGATTCTTTCTCGCGTACTCCACATCGGATGTTTGCCGTCGAGATTCTACCGAGATCTCTCGAGATCTTTGTTTGAGAAGAAACACTCTGAAAAGACGCCGTGCGTCACTATACTGCACGATAATAGACACGCGACGTCTCAAGGCGCGACCCTAATCTTGACGATGATAAAACACAGATAGAGCTCTCTCGAACACTTATTGCTATCACTAGCCACTGTCCATCTACTGGTGAACATTGGAGAAAATTGATTTTATTTCTAATATCTTATGATGCGTGTTTTCTGCTCCGATTTTAGTTTTAATTTATGGTGTGTGATGCGATATACGAAAGAAAGCGCTCGCATTTCAAACCGTTATCTAAATGCAAATTTCAGATAAATCCCAATAATACTGTATTAAATTGGTCATTAAATTCGTTCTTCATATACATATAAATCAATGATACGATGATTGATCAATGAAAAAACTGAAAATAGAGGATTTGTAAAAAAACGAATATGTTAGCGATAATGAATGAAAATATATACACGTGTGTAAGAGCGATAAGCAACAAGCAGCACCGTTGAACAAAAATGTGAGAAGTTGATAAAGCTGTATGAGATTTTAATGAACGCGATAAATAACATTTTTTCCCACATAAATAAAATTTGAAAGCGCCAAGATTTTGATATTAATATTTCAATACACAGACTCAAAATTATATGTTTGAAACAAATTTTTATCTCACCTTGAGCGACTTATATTATATGTTAAATGTCATGTTAGTAAGTATAACGCGTTCTTTTTTACACTTTTCGTATTTTAACACAGGTCAAAAGGATCTGACCTTTTCAATTATTTTCTACATGTATCTTTTTCTTCTAATTTTCTTCTTTTTTTGTTTTCCCTCCAATATACATATATGCATTGCACATGCTTACAATTAGTCGGAACAGAAAGTATAAAATTATATATAGAAGGAAAATTTCTTCTTCGCGCGCGAGATTTCGATGGGTCGTATTCAAAAATTGATTTGCCGGGTAGAGCGTTTGACCAATCAGGACAAAGGTAACTAAGATTTTTAGTTTTTTTTCATCTTGATTGGCCAATCAGATGTACTCTCATTAAATTATGTTTATGTTCAATATTATTTTCTATAATTCAGTGCTGTTTAAAAAATGAGTGACATGCATAAATAATAAATATTAATTAGTACATACAATTACATAAGAAATGATTTAATCATCCTTTTTGCATTTTATATATTTGAATAACGCGCTTTCGTACTATCAGAATCATGGCGGATAGTCACGTGACCTTAGAACATATGTTCTAAGCACGTGACAGAGTGACACAAGACACAAACAATAGCCGTGTAAACGTAGTCATTTACAATATCACTGTCATAAAAAGAGTGAAATTGTGGCGCGATATGCAAATTAAGAATGTCGTCGAGGAGTAGCACAAAACAATATTCGTCCAGCCGCGAACGTGATAAATATTACAGGAAAAAGCATTACGACGAGTCGCGGACCTCGTCGTCTTCGACGAGTCGCGAGGAAAGCGACCAAGACTTCTACTTCAGCAAGTATAAGCACGAATTGAATAAGATCTTCGCAGCGAATTCGAATCTCATTCACGACGTCGTGGATTTTTGGAAATTCGTCGAGAAATACGAATCTGTCAAGAAACAATTGGGTGACAGCAGCGATGAATCAGCAGCCGAGTCTGCTCTGAATTCCATCGGAGTGCCGGCAAAATATCACAAGTCCCATTGTCTAAATTTCGAGCTCGGTTTATCGTACGGAGAATTGTTTGCGCGAGTCCCCGAAGCGAAACAGTTGACGAAAGCACGACTGCTAAAATTTAAGGATGTGATAGTCTTGTACTTGGATTTTAAGCAAAAGGAAAAATTCAACAAATTAAAAAAACTCAGAGACGCACAGGCTAATTTACCGGTTGCCCAATATAAAGATGAAATTATTGAGACGGTGAAAAAGGAACAAGTTGTCATTATAGCAGGAGACACAGGTTGTGGGAAATCTACTCAAATACCCCAATACTTGTATGAAGCTGGTTTTCGAAAAATAGGTAAAGTAGGCTTAAACTTACTTGTCGATCTAAATATTTCTTATATTTATATAACTAAATATTTAATATGATCTAATTATATTTTTGATTTATATTTATAATATAGCATGTACACAGCCCCGAAGAATAGCATGTATTTCATTAGCAAAACGAGTCGCATTTGAAACATTAAGTGAAAATCTTAGCAAAATTGGATATCAGATACGTTTTGAGAAACAGAGAAACCAAGAGACAAACATTACATTCATAACTGAAGGTTTATTGTTACGACAAGTAAATATTTCAGTTGACATTTGAACAAATTATTAGAGACAGTTTCAAAAAAGATTTTACTGATTATCAATTATTTTACAGGTAGCAGGTGAATCAGTATTATCTGCATATGATGTGATAGTTTTGGATGAAGTGCACGAACGTCATCTGCATGGAGATTTATTATTGGGCATTATGAAATGTATTATTTATCAAAAACCTGATTTGAAATTGGTGCTAATGTCTGCCACTATTAATATAGAACTCTTCAGTAATTATTTTGCAAAAGAAGATGTTAAAATAATAGAAGTAAGCCACATAAAATATTTAAACAGTCTATTTTTAGAATACTTAAATACTTTAAAAAAACACTGATCAAATATATATGTGATACTGAAATTTTTTATGGATACTTAGGTTCCTGGAAGATTATATCCTATTCAATTGCTTTACCGTCCTATAACTGTAGAAGATCTTAAATACAAAAATGACAGATTTAATCCAAGTCCATATGTGCAAATAATGCAACTAATTGATCAAAAATATCCAGGTGAGAAAGACATTTTAATTATATTAACAAACTCCAGTTCTGCAGTAATAATTACATTAATTGTAATAAAGTTTAATTAAAAATTAAGATTATTTACTGTTTGCTATATTTTAATTAAAATTGCCATTACTTTGTTATAATTACAATAATAAAAATATTTTAGCTGATGAGAAAGGTGATTTATTAATATTCTTGAGTGGAATAAGTGAAATTACTGCAGTTGTAGATGCTGCCAAAGAATATAGTACAAAGAAAAATAATTGGATTGTTTTGCCACTTCATAGTACTCTTTCCATCAGTGAACAAGATAAGGTGTGCATTTCTTTCGCGTATCTTTGTAAATTATTTTGTTTTATAGCAAATTTATAAAAAAATTTTTTCCTAGGTATTTGACTATGCACCTGAAGGTGTTAGAAAATGCATTGTTGCAACTAATATTGCAGAAACTTCCATTACTATTGATGGAATCAGATTTGTCGCTGATAGTGGAAAAGTGAAGGAAATGAGTTACGACCCATCGTGTAAAATGCAAAAGTTAAAAGAATTCTGGATAAGCAAAGCCAGTGCAGAACAGAGAAAAGGAAGATCAGGCAGGACTGGACCTGGAGTTTGTTATAGGCAATTAATATATGATTATTTTCTCTATAAATAATATTATCTCATATGAGATTGAGAATAAACGATATTATACTTTTTTTTATAGAATTTATTCAGAGGAAGACTATAAGGTATTGGAAAGATATTCGACACCAGAATTACAACGTGTACCCTTAGATTCTTCACTGTTACAAATGATAGCAATGGGACTTCCTGATGCGCGAAAGTTTCCATTTATAGAGCCACCGCCAGCCGACAGTATAGAAAACGCTATATTATCTTTAAAAGATCACGTTAGTATTTTAAATCTTGCATTTTTGTTTTTCTTGCAAAATCCTAAATATTAACATGTAACGTTTTAATCAGGGTGCACTCACGGATAATGAAAAAATCACGTGTATTGGTAAAACCTTGGCACGACTCCCTGTTGATATTACAATAGGAAAGATGTTAATAATGGGATCCATTTTCCATCAAGTGGAACCTGTATTATCACTGGCGGCTGCTCTAAGTATACAAACACCATTCACCAATAGGGCATACAGAGATGCAGAATGCGAGGTAATTAATAAATTAATAAATGAAACTATGTTACAAAAAACTTAATTTGACAATAAAATAATATCAATAATATTAAAGACTTCTAGAAAAAAATTAGAATCTGATCATGGTGATCCAATAACTTTGCTGAATGCGTTTAAAGAATGGCTGGAAGTGAAACAAGAAAATTCTCAAGAATATAGAGGCAGTGGTAGCGGTAGCAGAAAGTGGTGCCGAAGGAGAGGATTAGAGGAGCAGCGATTCTATGAAATGACAAAATTAAGGACTCAATTTAAAGAATTACTTCAAGTTAGTCATTTATTTTGTGCATCTTTTACACACAAATATACTTACAATATTATTATAATATATCTAATATTCTATATATTTGATTACATTACAGGACTGTAAATTACTTAAAAGTCTCCCAGAACCAAACTCTTCTATGACAAGTGCGGAACGTGCGATAAGGCATGGAGAACTAAAACTTTTAAAGTCTCTCAAAAGAACTTACAAGCAAAGTGAATCTAGAAGACGTAAACAATTAAAAGTAAACAAATTTAATATACAATTGGAAGATAATGACGATGACAATGGAGAGCTCGACATAAAAGATATAGAATTTCGAATGAGAAATGATTCGAGTCAAGTGCAAAATCTTTTGACAGCATCCACTGCGTGTAGCTATAAAGATTTGACAATGTTAAAGCTAATATTGTGCAGTGGTTTATATCCACAGTTTGCTTGTGCTGACGAATTTAATTATTGCAAGGTATAATAAAAATTATATATCCTATATTATTTATAATTTATATATTCGTTTATATATTGTGCCTATATTATAATTTGTACAAATATTCTTTAAATTTTTCAGTCTATGAGTGAACAATTATTTCACACAAAAGCAAAACCATATGTTGCGTTGCATCCAATGAGCTTCTTTGGAAATCATCCACAGGTTTTGCAAATTGAAGAAGTAGATATAATATCGATATCAGGGTTTAAAAGTAAGAATCCAGTCAGCCCTAAACATAAGATACTGGCATATCTGTAAGTATTTATTTATTTTATAACATAATATTTCAAACATGAATAAATTAAATACATTATAACAAACGTATGACAGATCACTTTTGGAAACTACAAAACCATATCTGGTAAATACTTTGAGAATGCCTGCTGCACAAACATTGTTGCTATTTGCACGTGAAATAGACACAAATAGTATATTCTCCTTGTAAGTATAATAATATATTATATGCCTATACTTTAATTTATGTGCACTGTACTAATAAATGTCTGCATTTTTACAATATATAAAATTTTCAATAAAAAAGAAAAAGATTAATCAAATATAATAACGGATTTTACATTTTACAGAATGGTATGCGATTCATGGCTCATGTTAGAATTCCCTGTTCCTGACAGTGGTCAGACTTTATTAATGAGAGCGACTAAATTGAGAAATAAATGGGATTTCTTATTAAAGCAGCAGTTGCAAGGTACAAGATATATTTCTGATTTAATATTGAATTATATTTTCTTTTCTTTATATCTATAATATTTATAGTAAAACTAATATAAATGTCTCATTTTTTTAGGATCTGATGACGCAAATAATGAAATGAAAGATTTTAGTAAAATTGAGCAAAATCTTACTCAAGAATTGATCGAATATATGCACACTACAGTACCGTATACGATAAAACGGTTGCTACCGGCCGATTTAAAAATGATTTATGTTGGCAATGACAATAATAATATATGCATAGAGCCTAATCCTTTCCAAGCTGATTTTAAGAGTATACCAAATGTAACTAAAGGTGGAATTCGTGTAACAGACAGTATTACATATAATTGGTAAGTGCAAAAGAATATCGAATTAATTAATAGAGATATTATTTTATTATTAAAATAGATTAATCATCATTTATTATTGCAGTATAAGAGAAACTGATTGGAGTGAACAGCTAATTACAGAAATGCACGAAACTGAATGGCATTGTCAAAATTGTAATTTTCAAGCAGTTTTATCGAGTATAGAAAAACTTCAACATCAAAACTGTTGTATAACCGCACATGCAACTAACGTTGATAAAGAAAGTGAAAATATCACACGTAAACCTAATAGTCAAGCATACGAATGTCCTGATTGCTCGCAAATCTTGTATCTCACACCTATCGAGATATTGAAACATAAGAAACTACACATTAAAGCAAACTAAAATATTTGCAGGACTGAATTGTAAATAAATAGAATATATATTTTTTAGAAGATAACTTACGAATAAATACATAGGCGATTTTTTTTGTACAAATAAATATATATTTCATTGATAGATATATTTACAGAATTCTACATATAACACATACATAAATGTATATGTGTTTATAAAATATGTAAAAAAACTAAATACAGCTTTAAAAATAAAATTAATATATTTTAATACTATTTATAAGAGCAAAATTTTTGCTTACAAAATTTTTTTTTGTTATATATACGAAAACTATAATAAATATAATATATTTACAATAACAATATTCAAAAAATTTAAAAACATTCTTAACAAAAAAAAAGCATATGGAATATATATGGAATGTGATGTGACTCAAGTCCATGGTAAGAAATTTGAAAATAATAAACATCCTATAATTGTATATCCTATAAAATAGAACAGTACAAGTTTATCTTGCAATGTATATTGTTTTTGTGATAAAAAAAATACTTTCCATTTGCAGCAAACGTTTTCTCCATGTTCATATCCTAAATCAGTATAGTCGATACTCTTATGAGACGTGATCAAAGCACAATACCAATATATCAAGGGACTTGCAGAAGTTAATAAACGTGTGCTGACTTGGATATGTACGAAGAATAGGCAAACCACGGTTAGAAATAATCCATGTACCACAAAGACGAACATATTTAACGGGTATTTCTTTACTTTAATAGTATTTCCGTTTTTTCTTTTACTATCAAAAAGTCCTAGCATGTATAATTTATCCTTATATTCACAAATAAATTCTTTTATGCATCGCAACATAATGTACAATATTGGACAAGCTAAAATAAAATTTGGAATTTGTTTAAATTGATAATATTCTAAGAATCCAACATTCCAATATGTCTTTTGCACATACGAATATGCTAAAGGAATAGTAGCATTACACCATATTGAGGCAGTTGTGCCTGGTAATATTAGATTATTTTCTGTAGCGTACTGTAAAATGTGAATTGGCAGTAACGATTTATCAAATGAAGAAGTACAAAATTTAATATAATTGTATATTTGTAAAAGAAAAAACGGAGATAGCGATATAATTATTGTGCTCAAGATAGTGAAATAATTTTTTAATGTGATTAATTTAAAAATGTACAATATGTTGCGTTTATGTTTCTCAATTTCTTTCGACGCAGAATCACACAAGTTCTTAAGTCCGAAATATATAGGAAAACCCATATTAATGATACCATTCGATCTCGTTAAAGTCGACAAAGCTAATGGAAAATAAATAGTAGACGTATATTTCATACTCCCGAGCATAGTGTAAAATGTTAAATACGCAAACATGGATTCTGAATATACGGCTGAAAAAAATATGCTGCCTGGATTTATACAGTAAAGTATCGCTGCTTTGTAAGCTATTATGGTATCCTTGAATACGCATTGAGTAAGATCGTAAAGAATTAGAGCTGATTTTACGAAACACGCAAAATTAATGAACATTGCAGCAATGATCATGATACTTTGGCTGTTTAATATAGGCAATATCTTCATCAAAATAATGGCAACAATGCGAATCATAGCTGGATACAATGGATAAAAAGCAATAGTATTCTCGTACGTATACCCGTATTTCGCAATGTGTAAAAAATATTCTCCATCCCAACGTGTAAGACCGTTGAATAAAAAATTAATTATTTGATCCCACAGGGACCTTTCTTTTTCTGCGAAACTCAAAGGTCTTTTAAACGCATCTGCACGATGGTCGGGAATTGAGGCATTGAAAATTACTTGCAATATTAATATCGTAATTCTACTGATAATTGCGAACCAAAGGACTTTCTTTCTTGGCGAGTACATTTTGAGTTATCTCATATGTTGTTTATCTTAATTTCGCAATTACGCAAATGAAATATTTATAGCTACTCAGGAACAGTAAATTATGAAAAAAAACTCGTAATCATCTCGCTCATGATCTAATTATAATCATCATCGATGATTCATTTTTGCTTTCCTGTTTGCTTATCAGGCAGAAAGGAAGTGGTCGAGTCGAACCGTTCGTTGCAAACGATATTCTCTCGCGTTTAAAAAGTTGCTGTAGATCTATTAGTGAATAGACAGTGCACTGAAACAGATAAGTTTTACGTAACATGATCGCATATATTATGAAGAAGAGCTACAACATGTATTTTATATTGAACTTATTCATTATCACAATTAATTTTTTATTAATTGCTGCGCAGAATACAACAGAACAACCCTCTACGCCAGATCCAAACAAGCGTACGTTTTTACACATATTTCATATTATAGAAATAAATCTAATAGTTTTATAATGTAATACGTCTCTCATATGTTTTTTTATATTTATATTTGCAATAAATTGATGAGATATTAAAATATGCTTGTATACCTGACAGATTTCAAAAACCGGATAAGAAATCCGTTAATAAAACATTCGATAAAGACTTAACAGACTGGTTATTTACTGGTTGTTGGGGAGAAAATAATTCTGAATCGAATAAATGCTCTCCGTATCACATTGCCACCGAATACCCCAGTTACGATGGGTGGTACAATAATATTGGTAGACCAGAGCTAGGTGCAGTTGACACTCCATTGCTAAGAAGACTGCCAGCCGCTTATGAAGATGGAGTATACAAGCCTTCAGGTTCTAATAGACCAGAACCATTAGAGCTAAGTGAGAAGCTGTTGAGTGGAAAAATTGGATCAAAGTCAAGAACGGGAAGAAACACTTTACTTGTATTTTTCGGTACGTAAAAACGATTTATATCACTAAACTGCTTTCAAGATTATCAAGTACTTGCATTTGTACATTTATAGAAATTATAAAAATATATATATCTATATAAAATAATTTACAAAAAAAATTTCTAATATATATTTGAGATAAAATATTTATCAGATATATTTGTGATAAAAAACACAAGAAATTTTTTTTACCTTTATGATGAGCAATATAATAAATTTTTTTTTTTTTTTAATTATGTTTAGGTCAACAAGTGGTGGAGGAAATTTTAGATGCTCAAAGACCGGCGTGCCCACCCGAATATATCAACGTAAATATTCCGGAAAATCATCGATACAAAACTAAACTAGGACACACAAAAATGCCAGTTTTACGCACGCGATATGATTATCGAACCGGTCATTCGCCGAACAATCCTCGTCAACAGGTAACATACTTGGATAATGTTTGCTCTATAAATGCAGTAGTATCGTTCTCGTTTTAAAGAACGATATTAAATTATTTCGTTTACTAAGTATCGACACGTTGCAGCTAAATGAGATTACACCGTTCATCGACGGTGGATTAATTTACGGCACATCTAAAGCATGGTCCGACGTTTTAAGGACAAATTCCAGTGGAATATTGCAGGCAGATGGTCAACTCGCATCATCGTACTTCGGTTATCCCGATTACAATACCGTCCGATTACCGATGGCCAATCCACCGCCACCTATTCATCATCATCAATACGTTTCTCGACATTATACCGAGAGCGTTACCAGATATTTCAGTGAGTAGTAAAATTTTATTCGGAAAGCAATATTAAAATAAACGAGTATTAGAATTTTGTGCCGCAGACATGTTTCGCATAGTCGGCTATATGATGATCCTTTGGTGTACATTCGTACTCAATCTTCTCTGAATAAGGCATCGGAACGTCGATACCGGCGCATCGCACTGCGGGTGCGTCGAGTTGAAAGAACACCGGATTCTCCATCACCGTCGCAACAATTTCGGATCCTACTCCGCACCTCGGCCAACCCAGCTCGACAGTCATTAATCGGTGTGTCTTGCTGATGGATTTGAATACGGTATCCCAATCCAGGGGTCTGAGCGAGCGCAGATTGATAACTTCTGCCTCGATCCCTTGTCCAGCCAATATCTCGGCCGCTTGAAGCGTATACACGTACGCCTGGCCATGCGTCACCAGGGTGATATGCTTGCCAGGTTTCTCCACCTTGGCCTTGCCAATAGGTATCTGATAGTCCTTGTCCATAGCTTGGTCGGACACGGGAAACTCGAGGTTGTAGAGCAATTCGCTCTCCAGCATTATGACAGGATCGGGATCGCGCACAGCTGCCTTCAAGCAGCCTCTGTAATCTTCACAGGTTGATGGCGATAGAACCTTCAAACCGGGTGCGCTCATGTACCACGCGGCAAAACACTGAGAATGCTGTGCGGCCAAGCCTTTGGCATTACCATTGGGACCCCGGAACACGACGGGGACGGGATATTTGCCGGCAGACATGTAGAGATTCTTGGCGGCACCGTTGATGATACGATCGATGGCTTGCATGGCGAAATTGAAGGTCATGAACTCGCATATCGGTTTCAAGCCCAGGAGCGCCGCGCCAATCGCTATACCACAAAATCCAGCCTCCGTGATCGGTGTATCGATCATCCTCTTGTCGCCATACTTCTTCCAGAGACCGCGCGTAATTTTGTAAGCGCCGTCGAACTCGGCGACTTCCTCTCCGATAATGAACACCTTTTCGTCCCGGGCTAATTCCTCATCGAGAGCCATATTCAGCGCGTCTCGCACAGTCATCTTCGTGACGGTTCTGTGGCAAGTTGCATCAACGACGCAAAAACGCGTCGCTCGCAGCATTAATTTATCTCTCAACGGGCGAAGAAAATACATTTCGGATGCGAATCAATATTTTTACTCGGTATAATATCTGTGGCTATTAATATATGCAATTTCATACGTTATGTTCTAGAGTTGGGAAATCCACGAGGAAATGAAAATCCGTTTCTACTGACTTTTGGTATAATATGGTTCAGATGGCACAATTTCGTAGCATCTCATATTAAACGTCGCAATCCAAATTGGTCCAGCGACAAGATTTACAACGAGGCTCGTAAATGGGTGATTGCGACCCAGCAACACATTATCGTCAACGAATGGTTGCCTTCATGGTTGGGAAGCAGACTTCCTGTATATACGGGTAAATAGAAATAGAGTTTCAGTCAACATGTGACTGTATTAATAAACACTACATGTTTAATTAAAATGTTTGTTTACTCGTAATTTGCATTTAATCCTAATTGATTTATTCGTTGTTTAAAGGTTACAATCCTAATATCGATCCGCAAATAGAGCAATTTTTTCAATCGGCTGCTTTTCGCTTCGGACACACTTTGGTTCCACCAGGTAAATGATGCATCGATTTTTTATTACCATTAGAAAGATATACCGTTTTCCAGATGAGTTTATATTAATGACAAACAAATCATTCAAATGAGAGCAATATCGATTTTCATGTCATAATCTGTCTATTTTTTGTTCATATATATGGTGCTTTCCATTTAGCAATACAAGTTGACTTAGAGTCGATTTATACCTTTGATTTGATAAAAGATCATAGTAATATGTATGTTATTATAATAGAATGTGCAGTAATAACATTAATGATAATCATAATGCTAGGTGTATACTTGCGTGATTATGGGAGGAATAATTGTTTCTTGGAATCATATCCAATTAGAACATGCAACAATTATTGGATGTCACAGGTATTTTAACAATTTTATGTGTACGCGTGTGTATATACATGTATACACATATGTATGTTTAAAATTTCGACAAAGCACGTATACATAATAAAATATGTAAAGGTCTACCAATTACATGTAACCAACCATTACATATGTTTAGAATTCTCTGTATGCAAATTTGAAGAGATTAGAAGATGTTATCGACGTAGAGAAATTACTAATGGGAATGGCTATTCAATTATGCGAAGAGGAAGATCATAAGATCGTTGAAGATTTGCGAGGCAGTTTATTTGGGCCACTCGAATTCTCAAGGAGAGATTTAATGGCACTTAATATTCAGAGAGGACGTGATCACGGAGTACCTAATTACAACAGTGCTCGTCGTGCATACGGTCTATCGGAGGTTCAAAATGTATCCTATTTTGATCGCGTGAATGAAACGGTATGTTGTATAAAAATAAAAATTCTTATATTTAATCGCAGTGTATTACGGAAATATATTTTTTATTTATTATTATTTAAGATTCGAGATGAATTTCTCAAACTGTACAATAACTCGTTCGATGATGTGGATATCTGGGTAGGTGGGATACTAGAAACTGACGATGGACCTGGGCCGCTCTTTCAAAATATAATCAGTGATCAATTTCAACGAATACGCAATGGTGATAGATTTTGGTACAAGAATTTCGACAATAAGTATGTAATTATATCGTTATATTATATTACATCTTTTGTACAATTAATTAGGTAAACTTTTGTCACGCCTTTATTCCTAGACTTTTACTTACGAGGAAACTGAAAGATTAGAACAATTATCATTTTACGATGTATTAATGTGTGTCACTAAAATGGACTGGAATGATATTCCAAGCAATCCTTTTAGAGTTCCTACAAGAAGTAAGAGAAGGAAAAATTACATGTGTAAATATAAGGTTGTTTAATTATTAGCTAAAGATACCAAAAATAAATAAATTTGTCTTCTTTCAGTGGATGATATACATCCCAATTGTATTAATAATAAAGTTGTTAAAAAAGGCGAATGTACAACTGATTCTTGTTTTCACGTTGATCAAATAAATGAACATACAATCGAGAATTGCACTGAACCTGGGACTTACGATTATTTTTCGAATAGCAGTGCGTCCTTCATTCTTACATTTTTAGGTGTATCAACATTTTTCTGTGGTAAACATTTTTTGCTACTGTTGAATTATTATGTGATGGCATTATGGACATACTATATAATGTGATAAGTTTGACGCAGGTATCATTGTATTAATAATCTTTAAGATACAACTTAAGAACGAACTAATGAGAGAAACTATTATAAAAGTAGACCATAGTGATAATGTAGATATCATACATACTGGTAAGAGTTTAGAAGTATATACATCTCTTTATATTGCTCTCTTATCTCTTTATATACATATAGTATAATAAAGATATATTCCTTTTTATGAATAGCTAGCGAATGGCAAGAACCAAAAACTGCATTCAGACGTGTAATATTAATACCAAACATCAGAAAAAATCAACTGGAAGTGAAAAATCAATTGGGATATTTGATACGCGCAATGGACTTTCCAATCAATAGCAATGTCAAGGTATATATTATTTTTGTAATATATGTCAATTTATCATTTACTGCATAACAACACAAATTGATAAATATATAATCAAATGTACCAAATCTTTTTTGCAGATTTATTGCGCGTCTGATAATCATTATATTTTAATCCGCATACATCATAGTTATGATTTAGTGTTGAAGTTTGATTCCGATTTTTTGAGAAGCACATTTATAAAAGTATTCGAAAGATTTATATCGGATATGGCAACATCTGGAAATGTCTGCTCAATGCAAATGATAACTAATATTTCATATTCAGCGTTACTCAAGCAAGCAATAACTAAGAAGCATCGTCAAAAGAAATTGGAAATGTTTTTTCGCGTTGTATTCGCACAGGTATTTTTTCTTTTTTGTTTTATGAAATATTTAAACAATATTAAATATAAATATATATTCACAATTGTGTCTTCAGGCATTCCATATTGCACATACGGAAGAAGAAATCTTACAGATAGATTCGATAGTTGCAAGAGAAGTGATTTACACCGAATTAACTATCATAGAATTCGCGGAAGCTCTGAGTATGAAGCCGGACGCTGAATTCGTAAAGAAAGTAATATTTACATTAAATTTGATAAGCAATGTGTAAATACAATGCGTATAAATATATTGAAAGATTACACACACAATCATTTGCAGATATTTAATCTAGTGGATAAAGATAAGAATGGTTTTATATCATTTCGAGAATTTGTTGACATGTTGGTAATATTTCTAAAGGGTTCTGCAGAAGAGAAAATGAAGTTAATGTTTGATATGTATGATATCAATGGTACAGGAAAACTTAAAAGAGAAGAGTTTTCAGCTATGTTAAGGTATATTTTTAAATTATTTAATTACATGACACTATTCTCTATACGCTCTCTATCTTTTCATGTATCCATTATATATTAAATAATGGTTTAGATCATTTATGGAAACTGGAAATGCTGATATAACAGACAATGAATTGGAATCTTTAGTGCAATCCATGATGTATCACGCTGATTTGGCAAACAAAGAAACTATAAATCTACAGGATTTTCAACAGATACTCAGCGACTTCAATGATAAATTTAATTATGCAGAACTGGAGTTTAACGTGCCTGTGGATGGGAAAAACAGCAGAAAACTTCACGCAGGTGTGAAAACAGTTAGATCAACATTCATCGGCGAAGTACAAAAGACGGTGGAGAGTCTATATGCCGATCCAAATGAATTACAATGTAGAATCGAGGGTAAAATTGAAAGCGAACAAAATGCGAAAGAGGAAAAAAGTAATAGCGAAATTATCGATAAGAACGAGAAAATTATCGAAGAGATGAAGAAACACTCGGACGATTATTGGTATCCTATAATGAAATACCTCGCTAACAAACGATTGCAAATATTCTGGGCATGTTTATATACCTTGTTTTTGCTTGGGATTTTCGCAGAGAGAGTGTACTGTATGTCCTTTTCAAAAATCTTTTTACAGTACAAGCTCTAACTTAAATTTTTGCACCAATAATTATAATTGTATAATGCTCTTTTACATAGATTATTCTATACAACGAGAACATTCTGGTTTGAGACGAATATTGGGTCATGGTATTGCTATAACGAGAGGTGCGGCATCGGCTATGATGTTCACTTATTCCACATTAATAATTATGATGTGCCATAACACCATCACTATTCTTAGAACCACAATTCTACAGTTCTACATTCCTTTCGATTCAGCGATAGAAATGCATAAATATATCGCTTATTGGGCCTTGGTCTTTACTGGTGAGATAAATTTCTTAATCTTAATTTAAGCAAATTACATTTCATGTTTATTCGCGTTTTAATATTTTTAGTGTTACATATAATTGGACATGGTTTTAATTTTTATCATATATCTACGCAAACTGCTGATGATTTAACGTGTTTGTTTCGCAATTATTTCCACGCGTAAGTCTACATCTCTTCTATCTAAATATTTCAATTATTCAATTTCTAAATAATAAAAATAAATTATTTATTATATTTATTGTATTTAGAACACATGAGCTGCCAAAGTTCCATTATTGGTGTTGGGGTACAATGACAGGTATAACAGGAATATTTTTAACCATTGTAACTGGATTAATATTTATATGCTCATTGCCAATGGTACGCAAGTCATTCTACAATTGGTTCTCTCTTGTACATTCCTTGTATCCAGTTTTTTACATACTGATGATTTTACATGGCAGTGGAAGATTAGTACAAGTAATTAATATTGTTATATAAGATTCTTAATTTTTCTTATATATATAATAAAAAAATACATTATCTAAAATCATATTTAAAATTTAAAATTATATTATATAAAAATTGAAAATTATTTATAATTTATTATAACAGGAACCATATTTTCATTATTTTTCTTGGGACCAGTCATTCTATTTATTCTCGATAAAGTTGTAACTGTGACTAGAATAACGATAGAGATACCAATACTCAAAGCAGAAATTCTACCATCAGGTAAATATTATCGCGAGATATTGTCGTTTTCTTATTCAAGTCATATATATATATATGTGTGTGTGTGTGTGTGTATATATATATAAAATGTTGTAGGTGTAACATATATAGCATTTCCAAAACCTTTAAATTTTCAATATAAATCTGGTCAATGGATTAGAATAGCATGTCCAGCATTGCAGACAAATGAGTATCATCCATTTACTTTATCATCCACGCCACATGAAACGAATTTAAGTGTACATATACGAGCAGTTGGACCATGGACCACTAATATTAGAGAGAAATTAGAATTGTGCACAATGTCTAATGAAGATTTACCAATGGTACATCTTGTATCATTATTTATCTAAAATTCTATATATATATTTACAAAATTTTTACTAATGAAATATATATTTGACATATATTATTAAATATCTATTTATTAATAGATTCACATGGATGGCCCATATGGGGAAGGTCATCAAGACTGGGATAAATATGAAGTGGCAATTATGGTTGGTGGTGGTATAGGTGTTACACCTTTTGCATCAATACTAAAGGATATTGTTTTTAAGTCAAACTATAGCTTAAACTTTGGTTGCAAAAAGGTAAAATAACATTAACAACTTTATTTAAATTTAAATAATGATAAAAAAGAACATATGTATAAAAATATTTTAATTTGCAGGTATATTTTATTTGGGTGACAAGAACGCAAAAACAATTTGAATGGATGATCGATATACTAAGAGAGCTAGAGAAAGCAGATATCAATAACACAGTATCAATTCATATCTTTGTTACTCAATTTTATCAAAAATTTGATCTACGTACAATACTTTTAGTAAGATATCTTTTAAATATCATATTAATATTTTAAATATTATAAGAACCATAAAGAATCGCTGTACGAGCCACGAAATATTTATATTTTGCTTAGACATTGCTAAGATATCGAGGAACAATTTCATATTTGAAATATGAAATTGTTCCTCAATGTTTTAGCAATGTCTAAGCAAAATATATTTCGTGGCTCGTACAGCGACTCTTATAGTTCTTAGTTATGATTTCCTTTGGCGAGCTGGCCTTTAATGATATTTTAATGTTTTTAAATATTATATTAATTTGAGAGAATTTTAAATATCTAACTGAATATGATTTTCAGTATATTTGTGAACGTCATTTTCAAAAGATTTCAAACAAATCTTTATTTACTGGACTGAGAGCAGTGACACATTTTGGACGTCCAAAATTCTCTCAATTTTTCCTGTCTATACAAAAATTACATCCTACTGTAAGTATATGTATTGATTGTGAATAGTGTTAATCATATTATTTTTAAATTAACATTTTAAATTTTCTATTAGTTATACATTTAAAAAAAACAATTATTTCAGATAAACAAGATTGGTGTTTTCAGTTGTGGTACACCAGCTATGACACAAGCCGTAGATGCAGCTTGTAAAACGATTAATCTAACAAAAATCAATAATACATTATTTCAACATCATTATAAAAGCTTCTAAAAGTATATTTATAAATATTCAATATAAAATTTCATTTTTGATAGACTGAATTGTTTCATAATAATCATAATCTTAATGATTCACTTTTTTACTGTATTTTTCTGATGAATCATGTTCTTATAAAAATAACATTGATAAAAAGATATAAACTTCATACTTTTTTACTTCTCTATTAATGTTAGAATTACAAAACATACATAACTCTAATTATATTTTCATAATTAATAGAAAATAATATTACTGTTGTGTCATAGTAAATACATATATATTAATAAAATTAATTATAACACTGATGTTATAATGATCATAGTTATTAAATTATTTCGTATATTTTCTATAAGAAATTTAAAATAAAGGATTAAATATATACTCACAAACATATATGTGGGCAGGAATAAGAGTTTCTTTATAAATGTAATCCCGATAGTTGATTTATTCAATACTAGTCAAAAGTTCCCGCCACTCGATGATACTAAAATCAATACAAAAAATTTGTTAACTTATGTTTTTATGCAAAGAGAGCCTCAAATATAAATGTATTTTTAAATCTAAATAAAATATCCCAAATTAAACATTTACCGGCAATTTTATTTGATAAAAAATTCAACTAAAATGGTCCAACATGTTGAAATCACTCCTCTATTGATACACAAGAAAAAAGAAAACTCCGCATCCATAAGATATGAACAATAAACAACATGCTATGTCCATAAAGAGTATAAATTTGTATGAACGCTAACTACACTTGTTATATGACGAGTTTTATATTTTATACTTATATTTGATTGGTTATTTTCAAATAGAGAATTTCTATATAGTTTCTGGCAACAACCAATCAGGATCAGGGTATCGATTTTGTAACTTTTTCTAAAGTGAAAATGTGAAAAGTGAAAAATTTCCGTCAATCGCACATCGATTTCATTTTGGAATCAATGCGTGATTGGCGGGAATTTTTCACTTTTCACGTTTTCACTTAAAAAAAAGTTACAGAATCGATACCCTGAGAGAATTTAGGATGTGCAACAATAGAAATGTTATCCTAAGTGCTGATTGGCTGATGTTGCAAGAAGATCCTAGACATTTTCTGTACGATAACCAATCACAGATTAGCCCGGTAAATTTGTACATAGCAAACATAGCATTATTTTTATCAAAGAAATTCTTTTTCTTTTCGTTCTTCAGTGTTTGATTTACACATATATGTATATTATGTTTATAATGAAAAAATTGTACTTAAAAAAACAGTACAATATGAAACCTGTTTTCGAGCAAAAAAAGCTTTGAACAAATAAAATAATACTTTTTTGTTTTTAAAATTATAAATAAATCAAGGAGATCAAATTTATTATCGATACTTAATGATCAATATTAAAAATTTAATTTTCTTAATTTATTTATCTATCGATAATATATATATATATATATATATATATATATATATATTAGATCTGATATGAATCAATAAAGGTTTATATCCCTATAAGCGCATGATATTATTTAATATTTAAGCAATATTCTAGGCGTATTTTTAGAATATTTAATATTCTAAGAATACGCCTAGAATATTAAATAATATCATGCGCTTATAGGGATATCATTTACGTAAATATTATAATGCATATGTTTATACAAACATTAACAATCTATTAGTGAAACTATTATCTGCTTTTATTGAAAATATATGATGTGATATATATACCTAGTAAAAAAAGAACATTGCAAATGTTATCATTGTTAGTTTTCTCTACTAACATTATTCTACAAGCTAAAAAATATAGATATAAATTTACAATTAAATACAATAAAAATAAGCATAAAAATAAAAAATAAATAATTATATAGAAAATAGATTAAAAAATTGTATTAATTTAGATGCAAATTGCACAATCTAAAGATAAAAATCTATATGTGATACATATATTTTGTATGTGTATTTTTCATATATACACTTTGAACCATTATAGAAATTTATCATTAATAAGTCCAATTAATCACTTATATTTCGAGTACTTAAATTACTGATATACGCGTACTCTCGAAATAAATAAGCCTAGATTAATTGGACTTACTAGTGATATATTTCTATAAGGGAAAAGTAATATAAAAAAAGTTTGTATATAAATTTAAAAAATTAGTATTATATATATCAATTGGTAATTTAAAAATATAAAAAACAAAAGACAATATACAAAATTAATAGCTAAAAACAAAATTCAAAGATATATGTAAATCCTGATTACTGTATTGTGTATAAGATATGATGCAATATTGTACTATGTATAAACAATTGCAACAATATTATAAATGATACTTTTTAATATGTGGTATATATATGTGGTTAATATAGTTTAACGTGTGCTTCTAGTAATCATAGAATAAATTTTTCTCGGAAAGTAAATATCGGTTAAACAATTATTTTGTAAATCAAATGGACAGTATGATTATATTCTATAAAGAAATAAAAAATTAACGTTATAAATTATAATTTATATACGCGCCCGCTATATATATACAATTGTTCATAATTATTTTTAATTAAAATATAGTAAAACGTTGATGAAAATGGGTAGAATGTAAATAAAACAAACAAATGCATTTTTTATAACACATTTTTCATTGTCTTATAAGTCTATGGTAATTAATAATTAATAACAAGAAAAAAACCTTTTTCATCAATGTGTGTCTACAGTAATTATTAAAAGATACAATTAGCAAATTACTATGTTGTGTATTCATTTTGTGTAATAATAGGTAATAATATAATTGTAATATTTTTTTCTCCGTAATCATAGCGCGATATCCTCTCACGTGCTCAATCATTTCTACAAATATAATATGGTATCTAATTCTTTATTTCATGGAGATATGTATATATATATACATATATAGTAAATATATATATATATATCTCTACTTAGATTATTATCAATTTTCTTCTTTTTTACTATTATATATATATATATATATATATATATATATATATATATATATATATGTATATTATATAACCAAATACTAAAAATACAAATGTTTTGCATATAGCAGGTTTTAAAGTCATCAAACCTCATCCCAATCTGGTGATCTTAAAACGCATATCCATATACATAATATAATATTTGCAGCTTTGCCTACAAAATTAAGGAGCTCGTCAAGCGACTATTAATAATATATAAACAGGCATAAAGTGATCATTTATTATCGGTGTAATTCTCACATAGATTGCGCAGAGATGGTAGCATGTAAAACTTTACACCCTTTACAAACCACAATATTAATACCAATTATTTATTGAGCTTTTCACACATACACCACTTCTCCAACTGTGTTGATTGCCAACAGTTATCCGACATCTGATCTTTGGCGCATTATTAATTGCTCTTTATTACATGCATATATATATGTGTATATATATATATGCATGCATATATACACATACACGCAGTATACACTCAGACAGACAGACACACACACACACACACACATACATGATTATACGGCAGAAATACTTTAAAAGCTCCTTAATTATGCGAGCGCGCTAAATATTCGCTTATATTTAAGATATTCATATTTACACAAAGACCTCAGCTTTGTTTATAGTCTATACAATCATATAAATGTAATATTCAATGATAAAATTGTAACATAATAATGCCTAGCTTATCTAATGTGAAAGAGAAAATATTTTACACATCAAAATTACAATATTTTTTTCAATTATTCTTGTATATTCTGCAATATTAAATTACTATATATATTACACTCGATCCTATTTATGTTATAGGATACGAATTAAATCAAACGTACAAGTCGTGTGTACCCATTTCTTCATAGTTTTATGTACAATCAGGCTGTAATTTCCCATCCGAGTAAAATAAGTATACTATTATATACAATATGACCCAGTGTTTCATAGAAATAAATTCTGATAAACAAATAATATTCTAATTAAATAACTTAAATTAATATTGAAAGCAGGAAATAAATTCAACGAAGCTATAACCCAAGACGCAGTCTCTTTCTGTCTCTTAATTTGTTGGGTATAGATCGATGAAATTCTCTCCTATTTTAAATATCATTAAATTCGGCATTTATTACTAGCGTGAGAGAAGCATTTTTTTCTATTAAAGTGCCGCCTGGTAGCCATCGAACCTTTGAGAGAAAAGTACTGATCAGAAAATTTGTATGCATACTATATAATTGAGCACTGCACTTATCATACTTTGTACATTCTATGCTTGTAACAATTGTAGCAATAATATCTTTCTTTATCATATAATAAATATTTACTTGGTCTGTGATAAAAAATCGCATTTTTTTTGTACAAAACCATGTACATTCAAAAATGATCGTGATAAAATTGGGTCATGTAACTTTTGATCCACAATTTTTAACACACATCGACTATGGTATATTCTGTAATCATAATCATACAGATTCATATTCTAAATAGAATGCATTTAGAATATTTCTCTGAACATACTTAAAGCTTTCACGAAAGCTGTTTACAGTTTTCAAAGTTTGCAAAAAAATAAATAAATTTGCAAGAATGCAAGTAAAGTCAATTAATTCTTAATATTTGTATATAATGAATGAAATGTTATTTAATAAACAATATTCTAAATGTTCACTGTGTAAACATTTCTATTATCAGAATTGTATAATAGATGCATATTTTTATGAAACGTTTGGACAGTGCTACATGATGATGACTACTCAGGCTCAGCTAGAACTTTAAATTCTCAACAATACACGCATAATACACGCACATTCTAGTTCCCTTTCTCTCTCTTTCTCTCTCTCTCTCTATCTCTCTCTATCTGTCTATGTGTGTAAGTTATATTTATACAATATAAAACTAGATTATCTGTTCACAAAAACAATAATCGATATAAATCACATACATAGATCTTGTATATACGTATGCACATATAATTCAATGTAGTTCTAAATCTGTATAAGAAGAATAAGTATATTTTAATTACATGAACGCGAGAGAATAATTATAATAATAATGAGACAATTACGATTTTTATTTTTTGCACGATATACTTCAATTATTATTAATTTAATAAAAATTTAAACAGTTTCTATATATACACAATAGGGAGAAAAGGGTGTGCTTTGTCCATTTTTCTTTACAAGAAATTATTTACAAAATATATTCATTCCATATATTACCTATATCAAATTAACATTGTATTAATTAGTTTTCTTATAATAATTATTCTTATCATCTTCGCATATTTATGCATATCTTCCAACGTTCACTGTTTGTATATTTCATGAATAAAGCAAGATCCTTTTTTTAAAAAAAGTTCTATACCTCCGATTTCTGAATATTATGTGTAACTCAAGACGAACTTTTTACTGAAAGACTATGTTTGCTGAGTTGGAAAATGAAAACGTATAATAATGTAACTACAAACTTAATCGCTAAGTTGGATTAAAAGACATATACATATTTCTGTAATTATAAACATGATTGACATTTGTCATTGTCCTTATTATAATTTGTAAATTTATTATTCTCAATATTTAAGATATAACAATTATTAATATATTCAAAATAATCATGTGATATATAATTGTCCAAATATCAGACCAACAGCTTAAAAAACGTTTTCATCTTTTGCATAGATAAGTACGAAAAGCGTTACTACTTTATATTTTTCTTGAACTTACAGCATATGGCAAAAACTAATTTGTGAAAAATTCATATAACGTTTTATATATATATGTAATATGTGCACACTTTACCTACACATGCATATACGGAAAACTTGTATAACAAATAGATGACACACAATAAATAAATATGTATACACAAATTAAACATGCTTAAACAGAGTCTGTCAGCAAAGTCGTCAGAGTAGTGATCTATGAGCTCCACCGGTTAATAAATTTATTCACGATAAATATAGATTTTACTTACGGCAGTACAGTCAAATTCATATTTTTGACACTTAAACAATTTGGACTTTCTTTTACCGCTGTTATTATTTTGTAGTGATACAATGAACGAAAGAAATTATATGAGAGAGAAGATGATACTCGAAACATAAATAGTTCGAGTTTAAATTTTCTTAGATTTTTCTAAAGCTAACTTGAAATATCTTGTTTTTACACCTAACAGACAATATAATGTTAGAAAATTGCACATTGAAGAATGAAATTTAGTACTCGAGGAAAGAATGAAACATCTGACTGGTAAAAGAAAGTTACATACAATGTCTCGGCAGTTTTGAGTTAGTTCAGTTACTTAGATTATAGTGTATATATATATATATATATATATATATATATATATATATATATATTTATATATATATTTATATATATATATACATACATATATATTTATATATATAATGCATTGTGAGCAAGTTAAATCTGAGTAACTAAACTTTGCTGTTTATCGGAGTACAACAAATGAAAATGCTAGACGGTGAAAGAAAAGAATAAAAGCAGAATACTTTTATTTTGTTCGCTATTCTTTTAAACATTTAAGAACATAACAATTAATAATTAATGATTTATAAATATACTCTCCATAAATTTTACAACAATATAATTCTTATGATCTATTTGTTAGAGAAAAGAAAAAGATAAAAAGAAAGAGAAAACGAAAACACGTGAAGAACAAGCAAGAAAAAATTCGAAGGTACTTTGTATGACTAACTAGCAGCCAATAAATGTTTTATAGTACAAAACTGCTTTTGCACACCGTCTAGCTATTTCTTTTTTGACACAATACTCCCGATACATATACAGCAACGTTGTGCGCTAATGGGGCCCCTTCCGGTTTACCAGGTGGGATCCAGCCACACGGCGATCAAATACCCGTTTATGTTGGATTTACAATCAGACAGATGATAGGCCTTGACGAGCGACGGTAGCTAATCACTGTCAAGGTCACTTCCCGAAGGTCATTTGTTTTCTCGGGATATTCGCCTCCGTTTCGCTTGCTCCGCTGTTTCCGCTGTTACTAAAACAATATTTGATCACTGTACAAGGTGTTTGCAATTAAAACAGTATGTAAAACATACACAATTAACATATATAATCATTAGTTTTCATTAACATTTGTCAACTTTATTACTTTGATATATAATATTATGCCAAAAATTGTGGAAACGAAAAAGAAAAATAGTGCAGACGTAAAACCATAATTAAGTAATAAATTTTATAATACATCAGAGTGTCTATTCAAATTTTGTAAAAAAGTTCCATGAGAATTCTCTGATCTTTCCGGTATTATCCTTTAAAATTTCAGGTAAAATCAGAAAAGTAGATGTAGTTTTTTTAAAAATTCCTTTATAGTATATATGTACTTTTTAATATTTTCTATTCATATCTACGATTAGAAAGTTGCAAGAGTGCAACTTTTTTCTAGAATTTGATATTGATTTATTAATTGTAAAATTAATGTAGATAATAACACAAAGATATATCATTATATCTAAACACTAAAAACATTTGCAATATAATATAAAATAAAAAAAAAAAAAAAATAATTTATTATAAAGATCTTAAAGAATATTAATTTATTTAAATTAATTATTAAGCTGTTGTTTTATTTGTTCATTAAATTATTATTTATTAAATAAAGAATACTAATTTATTTAAACGTTACCTATTAAAAAATTAAATTTTTTATGAAACTTGCATATAAGATTTTGATACTGAAATAGATTGTCAATAAAAAAAAAATCACAAAATTTTAATAAAATCTTAAATATTGCAAAGATATGTTAGACATATGTTTCTTAAGTGCTAAATAAGAGTAAAATGATCAAAAGAACAATTTTTTAAAATTCTCTAAATTCCAATCAAATTCCATGAGAATTCTCTGATTTTTCAAGGTAAAATAAAATTCCATGAGAATACCAAGTTTTCAAAATTTTTTCCGGGAGTACACACTCTATATATGTATATGTGTCATATTTCGTGTGTATATAAAATATATTCTAAGAATACAAGGTGTCTGATACAAAGTGTCACCGAAAATATACAAGTAGATCTTGTTATTTGGAGACAATTTTTCCTCAGTAAAAATATTGAGGCATCAATCATTTTCGAGTTATAAGTAATTGAAAATAAAGGGTTTTAAAGCAAACTAAATCTCGTAGAAATAAAATATGAACAAAATCACATTCTCCAATTAATTTCAAGTAGTTTAATGAAATTTTAATTTAAGGTTTAGTTAATATAAAGATACATAATGGCAAAAATTGGGAATATGCAAAAAATAATGGTCTTCCTCGACATTTTTGCTGGGGAAAAATCGTCTCCAAATAACGAGATCTACTTAAATATTTTCGGTGTGACACTTTATGTCAGACACCTTATATAAACAACATCGTGCTTATCGAGGGATAAGAAATCAACATCTCTAAAAATGGAATAATGATATAAAGTGTCTCTTATCAATGAGCTATTTTAGAATAAATCAGTTACGTACCAGCACCACTACGTGTTTTCCTTCTGTTAATATCCTCAGAGGTTCTGGACGCACCTCTAGTATTGCTTGCTGGTGTAGCTAGCGGTGAAGCTGTATTCTGCCGTACAGATCTTCTGGTCGTTACTTCGCCCACAGACTCGTTGCTAGATACAGAAGTGCCTCGTAACCTCTCCTTCCCAACAGTAACTGCTGCTGTTCCCGTAGCCGTCGTCGCCACCGCAGCTGTCATTGTCGTCGTCGTTGTCATTGTCGTCATCGTCATCGTCGTCAACGTCGACGTCGTCATTGTCGTCGTCGTCATTGCAGTCGTTGTAATCACTGTTGTTGTTGTTGTTGCTGTTGTTGTCATCGTCGTCGTCGTTATCGTCGTCATCGCCATAGTCGAATTCAGCTGCTTGGTAGTTAACAAACGGCTCTCTCTTTGCACTCTATTATTGGCATTGAAATTTAATATATTACTGGAATTAATTTGACTGCCAGAAACAGCTGTAGCTTAACTCGCTCTAAAGTAGCTTATCTTATTATGTAGTAAAACTCTCAAATCTGAGATTCTTTTTCTTTCTTTTTTTCTTACTCTTATATTTTCTGGGCATCATAAAAGAATGCATCAGTTGTTGCTTACTTTTGATCTTTAGGCTTTGGGGAAGCAGCGGATGTTTCATCTGACAATCGAACTCTTGCTTTTCCTACAGAGTCAATCAATGGTTCGTCATCAGACGAATCAATGTCTACCACAACGAGACCTAAAAATATAAAAAAAACCGCTTATGTCACATATAAGTCTGGCTCAAGTATTATAAATTCAGACAAGTATGAGAGTTGGATCAATTTAAAATTCTAAGTGTATACTAAAATGAAATTAAGAGGTAGCTTTGTATCAAATATTGCAGTATTCAATATTCTTCAATTTCATTTCTTCAGTAAATCAGTTATTTAAATCAATACATTTGTGCATAACTAATGTAACATTTTCTATTATTACAAGCTTATATCTTCTTTCTTCCTCTCTTTCACAATAGTATAACAATATTTATAATATCAATAAATTTTTTATATGTCTAGTAATTTACATATGTATAAACAGTTCTGTTTTGGCAGTCTTTAATTTGTTACATTATAAAATCTATAATATATACAGGATATCTACCTACCACATTAGCTGATAATGAGAAATTCCTTAGTGAATTCGAGATTTCCTTAGCGAAAATTTTATGAGAACTTATTTCATTCATTATATTATAATATTATAAATATGTATGTGTTTCACAAAAGAATAAATTGTAATGTTAAGTGTAAATCATAAAATTAGATAATAGATTATTTCATAAAATTTTCGCTCTAAAAAAGAATACTCATGCAACTTCAAATTCGTGAAAAGAAAATCGATCATTAATACTTGATGCGCTAACAATTAAACAGCCTGTAGAAAGATACATGTGGAAAATAAGAGTAAAAAAAAGACAGATTAAACAACAAATTTTTGTATAAAAAAAAAACTTTCTACACAAAAAGAAATAATAACATAAGAAATAAATAAATACCTTTCTTAATCTTTGTCATTACGAATCCCTTCTTGCATTGCTCATCCTTGCCAGGCACTTGTTTCTTTATAGAACCAGCCTCTTCTACACCCATGCAAGCTTTAATAAGTTCTGCCGCATTCTCTGAGCATTTCCGTTTACCTGGTCTTGGCTGTGGATCATCAGCTGTGTTCGATGCAACGGAACTCTCGCTCTCTTGCCTTTTCCGTTTCCCTATTTTTATTGTCGTGTTAGGAGACAGTTTCGATACCGCTAGTTTTGGACTTGCTTTCGCATAGGGTGATATACTACGGCGTTCCTCTAATTTAGGGCCGTGGGGGCTGCTCTTCGGAGTTTTCGCGATATCCGGGCTGTTCAACTTCTGCGACCTGGTTCTCAATGACCTCTTCTCATTGTTGTCGTTCGGAATATCTATTAGAAGCTGCTCCAGTAACGACTTGGGCGGTCTCTTGATATACTCTTCTGCAATGGTGGAATTTAGTTTCTCCACAAAGGGAGTACACCCTTCATCATTATCTTCTATGAATATGACATCGTGTCGTCCCTCGAGATCCTGTTTCCTCCTGCGTTTACGCTTAAGATGTTCAACATCGCTGGAGTCCACCTCAGGATTCTGTGCTGCCGGACTCGGAGTTTCGTCCCGTTGCAGAACCACAGGATTAGAATACGTATACAATGGTGGTGTAATCCTGATAGGCTGCGGATCTTCGCCAAGAGGCGACTGGATGTCACCCACGCTCAGATCGCTCGAATCGTTAACCATTTTTTTAACTAAATCGTCCGTCACTTTTTGAAGATTTACAGAGGGCTCTCTGAGCGTGATCTGATTCTGCTGACTTTGTACATTACACTTCTGATTTTGTTCGGTGCACGTTTCTAACTTGGCGGACTTTGTGTTGAGTGAAATGTTACTATTTTTTGAAACCTCGAACCGATCGGTCTGCCTGGTATCGTCCACTTTTACGTTAATTTTGGATTCGACTTTGATTTCTAGATTGCAACTCTCATTGTTCGAGCAAGAATTATCCGTTGCCGCGTTGGTATTCGCGAGCGCACTATCGGATTTTATCGTGTCAACTTTACTATAAGCAACGTGATTTTGTATTATAGGCACACCATTATTATTATTATTATTATTATTATTATTATTATTAGTATTATTATTATTATTATTATTATTTTGTCCGTGAGGTTCGTCGCTTAATCTAATTGCACTGTTACTTTCTACAACCGTTTTCGTACTATCCTCAGATACGCTTTCCGCAGCTCTCGATTCTTCATGTTTAGAGTTTGCCTTACCCTGATCATTTTGGTTAACAGTACTCTCTAATTTAACACTAGAATTATCCTTATCAGAGAAATCCTTTGCTTGTTGATGCGCACATTGCAATAAGTTATTATCACTATTCATACTGCTGGTTATAGATGCTGTCATAACAGTCATTGTTCCCGTCACTAAAGGACTGGATACACTTTTGTCATTACTTGCTGCGTCTAAACTAACAACCAAATCACTATGTCCAGTTCTCGGAATTGTTGATGATGTTTCACTAGACACATTTTTTGTGTCATGCTCACCAGAGTTTGATATATTGCGATTCAATTGGTTTTCAAGATAACTTACTACAGACACAGGACTTAACCTTTGCGGGCCACTGGACTTGAGAAGTTCCGAATGGGAATTTGAACACATATCACTACTACTAGTTGAGGAAGGCACGTTCTTATTGGTGGTTGATAAGGTGGGTTCCCCCTGTATTACATTCTTGGCGCTGCTCTGTGTCACTGATTCGGTTGCCGATGCCGGCCTATGCAAAGGTGACTCCCCTTGATTTGGTGATTTTTCCGAAAGCGCATCCATCGACTCGATGCCAGAGTCTTCGCCGCCACCGCTGCTGCCGACTCTTTCGATATTTGCGTCAACACCGATCCCAATAGGTACCGTTGTATTTTCGAGTAACTTTTGCTTCACCTTCGCTTCGGTCACATTTATCTCACCGATAGGTAAGATCGGTTTATTTGCGGGTACATCAACGTTCTGGGATCTAGAGACTTGGTCCACCGAATTACCGATTACTGTATTGCCTGATGTAGTCTTCAATAAACTAATCCTTTGCGACGCGTTATCTATTTTGCTATCCGTCGCTGGTTTGTCGATTTGTTGTTTTACAATATGGTTTTGAATTGTCTTCTTATGACTACAATTCAACTCGACTGTCTTGTTATGTTTATTCATAATGGAATTTGTTTCACTCTTGTCAGCCATATTTCTCAGCTGCTGACTGATGCTTTTGACAGTGGCTATATAATCTCTGTCAGATTTACACTTGACGGTGAGTATTCTAGCCACAGGTGGTTGAGAATTTTTCGTCGTAGTTTCTATATGCACAGGTATTTTATTCTTATTCTCAGGGTTGTTAGATGGATTTCTAGAGTCGCCCTGTTGCGTCGACGAATTTGTCGATTTTAAACTAGAATCGCCCTCAAAGGACAGACTGACATTTGCTTTTATACTTGGTACTGTACTTGCAGAACATTCAGAAGCTGGCTTCTGATTGTTAAAATGTGTAACTTCTGTATTTGGAGATTCTGGAACATATTCAGAAATTAATTACACCATATGCATTTTTATATAAATATAGATTTTGTTATTATATTATATAGATTTTATACTATTATAAGATATAGATATTATACTATTATAAGATATAGATTTTATACTATTATTATTATTATTATTATTATATTAAAATAGGGAAAAAAAATTGTTTACCTCCTAAATGCAGATCTTTTTCATCGATTAAACTTAACCGTCTTCTCTTGTCTTGGCTTATTAAGTCTTTCTTCATGCCATTAAGCTCTGTTAATCTGGGAGCAACATTAGTCACCGAATTACTTTTTTCGATTGCTGGTTTATTAATGTCGCTATCACTCGTTCTTCGAATTTCTTCAATTTTCTTGACAATAAAACCACTCCCAGTTAAAAGCGAATCTGATTTTCTTATTGATTGAGTTGTATCAGCCTTATAACCAAGTTTTCTCCATTTCACTTGATCTAAAATTCGACCTCCTGACAGAAGGTTTTGTTCCCGATGTAAACCATCTCCAGATTCTGACTTTTTCTTAGAATCTCTTCTTTTTGTTTTGCCTGTAATATAAACATATAAATTATACGAAAGAAAAAATACAATTAATAATTATTTATACACTAGTATGTAAATTATTATGCAAATATTAAATAGCTTCTCTCAATTAATAATTATTTATACACTATTATATAAACTATTATGTAAATATTAAATAGCTTCTCTCTCTTACCTCCACCTATTTTATGTTCTTGCATATGATTTTGTGCATCCAGATCCACTTGATTCTTTGTTAAAACTTGCGGAGTATTTAAAGATTGATTTACAATGGTAGATTTATGCTTTGATGGAGACGGTATTCTACTATTCAGCGGTATATCATCTACATCGCTGTTTTTACTCGTACATGGCTTAGTAACAGTACCAGTTTGTAATCGTACAGCATCCACTGGTAATTCTTGTTTTAAGGCATTGGGTTTGGTTATAGCAGTTTGCAGCACATTACCCATTTTGCAAACGGTATTAGCACTGTTCATCATTGTGGAATTGGACAAAGATAGTTTTGATGCAGATGAACCCCCTATAATCATGCTCAATGGTGATTTTTTTTGCAACAACTTATTTCCATCAATACATTCCTTCATCTTTTTCAATTTACCTCTTCTCTTGATTAGATCACTCTCACCCTCACCCTTCAGAGACTTCTTTTCCTTTTTCTTTTGTACTACTGAAGCGTTACGTCCTCTTAAAGAAATGTGTAACGGAGGCACTCGGGGTGGTTCATCGTTCCCTGTACTTGGAACACCACTTGTGAAAATTTTATTCATAGATTTATCAGCTTTTCGCATGGGCGGCGTATTCACGAAAGAAACGTCAACTTTATAAGCCGGTGTAACGGGCTCGGATTTTTCCAATTTCAATCTTAATTTGATTTTCTCTCCTGGCATCGGACTATGCGCGGTCTCTCTGCTAGATTTTAGTCTGCTATGCTTTAAACTTCCTTCGCTGGCCGTGGACTTGGCCGTTGTTTCGGAATCAGACTGATCCGTGTTTGTCGTCGTGTCGTTTCTCCTCGAGAAATTACTGTCCGCGTCGTCGTCGGAAAATATAGAGTTTGATCTGTCGTTTGACGGAGATGGAAAGAAGAAGAAATCGTCCTGATTATCTACTGCACTCTCCGGCTCCGAATCTGAACTTTCACTGGGCATCGGTTCCAAGTGTCCTGTTAAAGGATTGATTAGAAACTGTCTTATTTTCCCACTTGAAGTGTACTCCGGTTCTGGCTCCGGACTCTCTTCTTCCGGTTTCGAAGACTCGGAAGTTTCTGTTTTAGTGACGGATGACGAAGCAATGCTAGCAGTAGAATTATTTATATGAGACCCACATTGAGGAAAGGCACCTGAAACCTGATTCGAGACTGACAGACGTGTGGTGTTGATTTGAGCACCTTGCGGAATAGCTCTGCGCATTTGCTCTGCGGAATTGCTCTGTGCATTCCATGTGGTCCCATTAGCATTGCTCGTTGAGGGAGATTGATAATTTCTACTAAGGATATTTTGACTCTGTCCATAACGAAAATCAGTAGTCGCACTGATATTGATATTGACGTTCTTCGCTTGATTGTGATGCAGTTGTTGTTGTACATTAAGAGTCTGATTTTGTTGATTTAAATGCGTTTGCTGCGGGACCTGTTGCCTCGGATAGGGCGACGGAGTTTGCTGACGTTGACTGTTTAAGTAACCTAGCCGTTGTTGCGGAACGCTTAAGCCTACTGTTGAGTGTTGTAGCAATTGTTGTTGATTTTGCTGTTGTTGCTGTAATAGTGACGGATTGCTAAGAGATGTGGTTTGCAACGATGTGTTTATATTTTGTTGATGAAGTAGACTTTGCTGCGTCGTCGAGACTTGTGGGACAATTTGTTGGTTTATTTGTTGTTGAAGTAACAGTTGACGTTGTTGCAAAGATGTTCTAATTTGTTGCCCATTTACCGGGTGCCTGGCAGAAAGTTGATTCTGCATTTGAATCTGCGAAGCAGTTCTATAAGCCAATTCTTGCTTAATGTTGGGATACTTTTGCTGCGTTTGTACTTGATTGTGTAGGATCGATGTAACTTGCTGCTGCATCTGTCCGCTGGGCGGCACTTGATGCTGTACCGTTTGGGGCGGCATCATGTTTTGTCCAGTGCTACCGCCGATTACATTGACCGTATGTTGCTGCGATGGAAGCGTCGACGGTTGATTAGCGTTGACAGTCGCGAATGCCGACGATGTAGAAGTCTGAGATAAGTCAGGAATAACAGTCGTCGTCGTCGTCGTCGTTGTCGTCGTCGTCGTCGTCGCCGCTGTTCCTCCGATCAAGTCTTCGCTTCTCAAAGTATCCGGTAAATTCGGTGGCGACTCGTTAGGCGAAGGGAGATCTTTCCTTCGACCTGTAGGCTTCTTGGTGGGTCTCATACGATTGGTAAGTCCAGAATTGTCGACACCCGGTGTTACCATCTTTTGACCAGGTACGATGTTATTTGAGTGCGAACCAGCATCATTTTGCAAAAGATTCACGAGTAATGGACTGGATTTGGCGACCTGATTTCCGTTGCCGTTAGAAGTCCCTGCCAGATTGGTACTGTTGTTTGGTGACAGACTAGATGTTGTAGCAATCGTCGTGGGTTTGTATTGATTTGTTAGTTGTCCAACGGTAACGACCGGTTGGGTGGTCGTGTGACCGGTCGTCAGTGCCGTAACCGTTGCCAAATTTTCCTGAGATGGATAGGGGGGCGGCGGTTGCGCATGGTGTTTGAATTGCATCGTATTCTTAATTGTTGTATTCTGCGATTCGCGATTGTGTATTGCTTGAGCAGCGTGCGTCATACTGGTAAATGGATAAAGAACATTGTAGTTGTTTCTGGGCGATGCATTGGAATTAGTCACTTGTTGGTTCCCAGAAACGCCAACATTGCTCGTTGATGTGGATTGGACTGATTTCGCAAGAAACGGTGGAATAGGATCACAATCAGTAGGTGCAACTACATTTGGAGAACGAAACTGTGGAGCTTTTTCCGACGATGTTCCTGAAAAAGAAAAAATTATATATGTACAATTTGATATATTTTATGTAACCCATATTGTTTTTGTTTTTTTATTTTTATAAATTTATTTGATCAATTTATGAGAGCTTACCAGCAGCTGCTATTATCTGAGCAACATTGCGTAGTGCTGACGAAATGCTGGTGGAATGACTGGGACCAGGCAAAGCTGTTGAAGGATTAGCGTCAGCAGTAGCTGTATTATTAGTAGTATCGCCTTGCGATTTTGCTCCGCCATCTTGCGCGGTTCCAGAATGCAGCACAATTTCTTGTGCATCTCCACCGAAGCGACTTGCTATTCGCAAAGATATTACCTGTAAATAAAAGAATATAATAACATGTAATACTTTTGATCTATTTTGGATCACAAACCATAAAAAGTCAAAAAATATTTTTTATTATAATAGTATAAGAATATATTGTAAAAAAATATAATCATTTATTTATTACATAATTACCTGATCTCCTTCGACCTGCACTGAAAGTATGCCAAGTTGTGTAAGCGTCGGAGAACCCTGAGCTGCTAACTCTCGAAGTCGCAGAGCAGCTTCTCTGGGTATTGAAAATGTTACTCTGACAGAATTCCATGGTTCTACCTTATTTACTCTCAGCCCATCTCCTTTTTCTATAAATTGTAAAAATATATAAGCTAAACATAATCTGCTTATTAATATTATATTATTTAAATAGCAAACATATTATTACTATACACCCTTATTTGGATCAATAAAATTTATATCGATTGATTTACCTTTGCAAAGCAAATCATTAAGACGGTCGACGATAATTTTCAACTTTTGACGAAACTCTGGATCGTCATGATTACCCTCGCACGTTACCACCGTCACAATCCGATCACCATCACTATCTGCCGCCATGACTGTAATATTTATTATTACATATATTATCTTAATACTGATAAAAAGTAGATTTATCTTTATATAGAAAATAATGATAAATATAAAACATCAATATATAATAATAAAAATAATAAACAAATTATTTTTAATATTTGCCAAGTTTTAAAATAATGAAATAATAGTGATTGCAACGCTAGTGTAATATTTGTGATTGACATGCACACACGCACACACACACACACACACACACACATATACACATATTTATATAAGAATTTTTAATTAGTAATTTAATATAAAAATTTAATTTATAATTTAGAAAGTTATAAGAAAATGTTATTAAAAAATTACACACGAATAAAAATATATTTCTCTTCTCTTTCTCTCTGCCTTCTCCCCTCTACTTTGCCTATCAATCTGTCTCTTTTTCTCACTCACTTTCTTTATTCACAAAATTATCTTCTGTTTGTTATCAATGTCATCTCATAAAGTAATTTCTCAGATAAATTTAATTGTTCAAAATCACAGAACTAGTTTCAATTCTAACGTTCAATTAATAATGTTCAATGATAATCAACATAACCATAATAATCTCTTGTCTGAGTTTTTAACACAAAAGTATAATTTATATAGAAACGAAATAACATTTAAATATAATAAGATATACGTACCAATCACAAATCACATAACTACCCAGAGAGTTTAGGAACGCCTCAGGGTGTTGCTCCAATATGTGTGATGATGAGATGTCGAGTATCAGTTGTACACCGACAGCTCCAAATCACACTGGTATGAGCTACTAATCTTGTTTACTGTCAAACAAATTAAAAATTGGAATAATTAAATTATATAGAACACAAACATTATTAAAACAAGTTTTGTGTATATACAACCATTAATGTATATAATATATAATATTGTTAGATGACACTATATATTCCTAATGTGCGCACATGTGTTAACAAAATATAACTTGCAAATGCGTAATATAAATAAATATATAAAATATAAATCAATTAAAGGTCTTTCTAAAATCTCTAAGAAAATAACATATGTGTATTTAAATGTATTTGTTAAGAAAATAACATATACAAGATTGTAAGAATAACAAGTTTGCATTATACGTCACAAATATTTTCAACACATAGAAAACATTTTTAAATAATTTTGAATACAAAAAAATTGTAAATATATCAAAATATAAAATTCAACATACAGACATAAATAAATTAAAATTAATAAATTTTTCAATTTTACTCTTGCAATATTTAGATAATTAATTCCAAAATATGATACAAAAAAAAAAAAAAGAAAAGAAAAAGAAAAGAATGAAAACACTTCTTATACGTATCTCATATTTATAATGGCATATAGTTCTCATTATGTGCCAATAATATAAATACGAGACACACACATACACACACATATGCGCGCATCTTTCCAAGAAGAATATGATAATTTTTAATAATATTTTCAACATTTCGGATTCGCGTGCACGTACGCGTCAGAAAATATTTGACAAAGGGCGCCCCGTCGAAAAAAACTCTTGACAAAGTGGGGAAAAAAAAAAAAAAAGAAGACAGTAATTTACATACTAGCGCAGAAAGATAATTATCCAATGACAATGACACGAAAGAGAAAGAGAGAGATAGAGAGAGAGAGAGACACATTACCGCATCGAGGAAAGGTGTTATTTAGCACAATATAGAATCGATAAAGCGAAGAAGAAAATGAGAAAAACATGGGGGCGCATAAACAAAAAGCGAGGCCCACGAACACGAAGCGTTACTATAGGTTATAATTCGCGCTTGGATTTCCGGGAAAGCCCCGAGCGGTCGCGAGGCAGCCGGTGCGCCGCCTCCTCGACGCGCTCTCTCGGGCGAGCGTGCGGCCGCGCGCGCGTCAGCCGCGACCCCTCCTCGGAGACACACGGGCCCGTCTCCGACGAACGGCAATTAAAATCCACGGGTGCAGAAGCGCGGCCGAGGCGCGGGGGCACCCGTGCTCGCCTCAGCAACGTCTCGGGAAATAGGTTATAGATCGCATATTCGTAGGTGGGCGCGAGACGCGGACGCCCGCGTCGACGGGATACGACGTTTCCGCGGGCCGGACGTGCCGTCCCGGTCGGCAACGTAACGATTTTCGTCGAAATACGGCAGATCCGGAGCATCGGATATCGACGGGGGGCCCACCATTTTGTCCCTGTCGGGGGAGGTATAACGTGAAGTGGGCTCCTCAAGCATGCTCAAAGATAGACCGTCAAAAGTCCGGAATTATTTCTCTCTCTCTCGCTCTCTTTCTCTCTCTCTCTCTCCCTCCCTTCGCCGTTTCCCTCAGTTTGGTTTTCTCACGCGGATGTACGCGGAGGTCGCGGCGACGAGGATAGCAGCGAGGTCTCGCTTCCCGAGTCGCGCACAGCGCCGACTTCGATACCGTATGAACACACAGGAAAATTTTCAACGTTACCCCATTTCTTTCCGACACTGTCGCGGGACTTCACGCGTCCGTGGCACACGGAGGCACACCACCCGGCCGCTGATCTTAATCCGTCACACGCCGCGCGGCCCTTATTTCACTCGGAGCACACAGCGCGCGGCAGGGATCGCGAAAAAACTCGACATAATCGCTAATATAAAGAGACAAGTCATAAAACGCCATGAACAATAACAAGATGCCGCCATTTGCAATGCGTACAACTGACATGCGCAAATCAATCGCGCGGGGCAGGCTGGGTATTTCACGACGCGCCATCTTGCCAATCGTTTTTAATTGTACATGATACGTCCCATAACCTCGAAACGCTTTAAATTCCAATTGTTGCGTCTCGATCAATTTTATCGTAAATGTCAAATATCGCGTCGAGACCGACTCCCGATGTTCTTCTAGCTTAATGTCACGAGTTTCATGTCATGTAATTTGGAATTTACCGAGAATGCGCTTACCGTATCGCGTCATTTATATATAATTAGATAAAAATGTTAAATATTAAGCGCTCTCTCTCTCTCTCTCTATTATAGTTATTTAACAGATAATAATCCTTAAGGTTCGCCAGTAATAATTAATAAAAATCTCGGCTGTCATTGCAGCCCTTTTCGAGTAAATCAAACGTAAATGCGTAATAAATTAATACAGTAAATCAAATTTACTGCATACCACCGACAATATTCACCATTGTTTTTATGTAGAGTTGACAGAAGTAAGCAAGGAAAGATTTTTATAATTATTTAAATTGAAACCTGAATCGCACACATGTTATTGCATACATGATAAAATAAAAATATTATCTAGCAAAAATTATTAGCAAGTTCGTTATAAATATTCATACAAAGCTAATGAAAAATTATTATAATCATTAAAATAAAATCTTTCACAAGATATATATATATATACATACAATCTGAATACTTTAAAATATAAATTTAAAATGAGAAATTAACTAAAGTAAAACTAATCAACGACACTATGTTAAAAAAATGTATGTATATATAATTCTATTAAGTTTATTTATTATATATAGAGATATAATTTATAATTTTGAAAAAAATTATTCTCTGTAACTATTTTTCTTTTTCTCACATCTTTTTAAATTCTTGTCTATTTCTTATAATAATCTTCTATTTGGGGATATACGACTGCATAAGACCAGCATCATTCATTATTTTTAATTGCTTCTCCGCATCATAGGTTCTGCAAAACAATTTTAAAAATGTAGTTGAGTAACTTGAAGATCGTGTTAAATACAGTTTACGCATTACATTAAAACGAAATTAGAATAGTAATAGTTTAAATAAAATTAACATATACTTGTAAAAGTCGGCGTATCTCTGTTTCCTTTTATCACAGACGAATACTTTGTATAACAGTGCTGCGCTGACGCTGACTACCATCATCCCTACAAGGTTCTTTTTAATCTGTGACGCATGGAGACCACGCAGCTGTGGTTTGACCAGTGGAGTGGACATCTGAAATTCCCAAAGATTCATATAAAAAAATCGTTTTATTTAGACAAACATTGCTAACATTTGCCTTTCAAAGTTACAAAACTGTCAATTAAATATCTTACTATTAATATAGGTTACTTATTTATTTTTATCAGTCTTTGATATGACGTTACGAGAAGTGTATAATTTTTATTCTTCGAAAATAACAATTAAAATATTTTCGAAGCTTGTAAAAATGTCACAATACACACTTTGTATTTAAATAGTATAATGTTCTATACTATGTGTGACGCGGAGTATACATTATATAATGTTTCACGATATACTTGGCAAATTATTCTTGAGGAGGTGTTTTATGAATCACAGATTAAAAATAATTAAATATAAAAAATATATATAAATATATCCTTGCCTCGAGTGATTTTATGTCTACCGTGAAACACGGTTCAGTCTGAAGTCTGAAGAATATTTCGACCAATGTCGACCATTAGACAAATATCGACCACAATACTTGATACGTAGTGACGTCAAGGCACTATACTTCAGACCTGTTTTCAAAACACGACAAACGTCAGGTCTGTTCGTTTTTGCTTCCACTCCCCAGAACTTTTCTATCCGAAGGAAGATAAATGCGTAGTTAGAGAGAGAAAATGTTAAAAGTCGTGAGTTTTTTTTCAAAAAAAGCAAAACAGATTTCTTTTTTGTCTTTAAAATGTGAGACATGTGATGAAGCTCTAGAGACAGAAAGAAAGAATAGTTAAAGATTAACTGAAAAAGATAAATCTGTGAAATTTGCATATTCTTGTATTTTTTGTATATCGAAGGCGACAGCAGACATAATTTCACCAAGAGCACGCAATGTGGTATGTATATACAATATATATATATATGTATATAAAAAAAAATCCTGACAAGATATTAAATATAGTCGACAGACATAGATCTGTCATTGGCGAGGTGCTGGACAAGTCGATCTTAACATCGGGATCAGGCGTTCTATTTACGTCGTCGATGGTGGTTTTATGGTGGGAATAAAAGGGACTCTCGAGAGAATTCATATCGTCGAACCGATTCGCAGCAGAGGATTGAATGCATATAATATGAAGGAAAGAATCTTCGGGTTCTTTTTACTCGACGCGACTGTTCAGATGTGATTGATTTCTCCCCATCTCCGGAGAATCGAGGTCGATGCGTAGCTTGACGCGGCCAGGCAACGTTTCGTTGCGCAGAACGAAACTCCGCCGAGTGACCAGTGACCAACAGTGACAGCTGACTAATGTAACGCGACCCTTGGCTCTCGCGTCATTCCGTACACTTGTACTCATTTTGTACCAACGCCGAGGCCTGCACAACGTATACGCACATAATATTGATTGATATTAATGGGGAATAAACCTATTTTCCCGATAGGAAGAACTAATTTCTGCTATTAAAATGTACGTGATCGTTTATCGTTATCAGTGTATGCATCGTATTTTTTTTTTTTTCTTTTCTACAAATTTTCTCTCGTGCGAAATCTAAATTTATAATATTTGTAGACATAAGTATACGTGTGCGTGTGCGAATCGATATCATTGTTTTATCAACGAACTTATCTCTTCCTCGGTTTTTTTATATTTATAAAGAAAGATAAATGTGAATAATGTGTGTACTCGTGTGTTAATGCAATTCTTTTGTCAAACAAATTTTTGTCATAAAATTTAAATTATTTAGTGCATAAATTATTTGTATTGAAATTTAAAAAATATAAATAATATAGAAAAAAATGTTGCTCAAGATCTATTTGCTATAGATCTGGATATATTTTTTCATATAAATTTTTATTCAATTTTTACTTTTAAATGATTTCACAATTTTAGAAAAAAATATAAGTTTTTATTTCTTGTACATTTTTTAGAATATAATGTAATTTATTTTTAATAATTCCTAAAATTTAAATGTGTGATGTAAAGAATAATTAAGTAATATATATTTTAAAACAATTTTTCAGAGGCTGTATCGGAGCAGCTGCTCTGTAGTTAGCGATCATGGAACAAGTGATCGCAATAAGTACACAAAATCCATTATCTATATTGGTTAAATTTGGTATGATGGCTTGGAACAATAGCTGTGGAATTGAAAATTGTTCTGGTCATGGAGAATGTCACAATGGAACTTGCTTATGCGAGGTAATAATTTTGACTACATATATCAAATCACTCCAAGATGATGTTTATTATTTATTATTCTGTGTTTTAGATTCAATTTGATGGACCAGAATGTCATATTCCAAATTTAAGTTATTATGTTGCTTTTGCTACAATCTTTTTCTTATTAGCTTTTGTTTGTTTGATTCAACTTGTCATGTGCATTGTTGCTGAGTGGCAAAAAATGAAGGCACCATCATTTTTGAGAGCATGCAGGGTTACTACTCAAAAACTGCTATACTTTGTAGTTTTTCTTGCATCCGTTATACGAGGCGCATATTTTACATCACCGGTATGTACAAACAAATATATGTAGAGGAAGTTTTTCTCACGCATATTTTAATATATTTTAAAATTTTTTACAGACTGCTTTCAAAGAGGGCTGGTCCAGAAGTTTGCTGTCAGCATATTATCCATTGCTTTTGAGTGGATCATCGTTGATCGTTTGTTTTTGGGCCGAGGTGTTTCATCTGAGGGACATTCGATGGGACAAACCTCAGTTTTTATCAAAATCTTTTCTAGCCTTTGTTGTCTTCAACATAATGACATATTCCCTTTTATTAGCGGAATTTATCATGGCACAAACATATTCGCAAGAAGATCAAGTAAGTAAGAGAATGGAAAATATAAGCACAGTTATATATCGTTCATTATTATTATAATTTATTGATTTGCATGTATATTTCAAAATCATATTTATAAAATTATTTCCACATTTATTTTTAGAGTTTCTATACACATGTATTCAACGGCTGTTATGCAGTACTCCTGTTCATTGTAGTGGTTTTATTCTTGATCTATGGAGTGGAAGTATTCTTCAAAGTATGTTTTTTTATATTATAATACTGTTATAGCTCTTATACTCAAGTTATTTGCTGTAATAATGTATAAGTTAATAATCAAAAGCAATAATTTAAAATTATACTTTTGACATAGGTTCGTGGTGGATTCTTGAATGAATACCGCGTCGCTTCCATTGCAACTAATAAACGTACAGCTGATGAAGCAAAGATCCATGCCGAGGATCAAGTAACAGCAAAATTATTTGATCCAGTTCCATCCACATCCGCGGCAGAGCCTTTGCACATGCAACAAGTGAATACATCCCAATTACATCAATCAAGATTTGGATTACTTTCTCAAGCGTTTATGTTGTTTATAATCGTCGGTTTTCTATTTAGTGAGACTCTCAGTGAATTTTGGAAGACAAAGTAAGAAAATGTAAATATATATAAGTTATGCAATATTTGAATTTAACTTATTCATTCTTATTTATGTCTTTAGAGTGCCATTGTACAGCAGGAATTGGCATGATGTTGTATTTCGTGTTATTGAAGTTGGCGTAGCACTGTGGTTTCCTTGCGTTCTATGGAATTGTATGAGGTATGTCATCTAGGTGTATTTTTTATTATATGTATATTATATAAAATTTCTTTTATAATATACTTTTATGTATTATATTTATATATTATAAAATTTCTTTTATAATATACTTATACATATATATTTATGATGTGATTTTTGTTTCAGTCCGGAACAATTATGGATTCTAAATCCAAAGCGTATATTGAAAAGATTAGATCTGGATCAGGGGAAACATATAAAAGAAATTGAATTACAAGAGAAGAGCGCATCTCAAGACACCGCATTTCTTTCTTCAGATGCAGCATCGATCAATAGCAAAGATTGTTGGATTTGTTATGACAGTGACAGACAAGATGCTGGTCCATTAATACAACCGTGCCATTGTAGGGGTGATGTAAGTGCAGTACATCATGATTGTTTGCGTCGTTGGCTCGTCGAGGTAAGATTAAGTTACAGTTTTATTTTAGCTAAAAGTTGTTTTTGAAACATAACATGTATTTCATAAATTGTAATTTTTGTTTTTTCTTCCTTTTATAGAGTTCTGTCAATGCCGACAGCCTCATTTGTAAAGTTTGTAACACAAAGTACAATGTTGAACATGCCAGTCGATTAGACTGGCAAAACAGTTTAACCCCACGCCATTGTTTACAAACTATTGCTATTGTTACTACGATGTGTGCATCTTCTGCTGCCGCGTGGGTAGTTATTCAACTTGTAGAAGGGCCCTTCATCAGAATGTTCGCAGCCGGAACCGCATTATTGGTCATGTACGTCTGCATAAGGTAAATATACTAGTCTTTTTTTAAATTATAACATTGGCGCTGTTCAGTTTATACAGTTAAAGACGTTTGTTTCAGATTCTTGAGCTTGAATACCGTTGTAGCCTATCAACGGGCCAAAATCTCATCGTTAAATATCGTTAACAGTGATAGTGAGAGTAGTGGAACTGCACACGTTACGACGATTAGTCATACAATTTCTGTGGATTTGACAAAATCTGACATGGCTACAATATAATCTACACTTGCCATTGCATTATAAAACATAGATACGCTTCCTGCTTGAAATAAATTCAGGATAGGAAAATTAAATAATAATGTAGATATGCATATATGCTTTTCAAGCATATAAACATAATGACAATGATTGAGACACAGTATGTTTTCAATCAAGAATTTTTATATACTTTTTGTAAAATAGCAAAATTACTTTACAAAACGTAGATAAAAAAACTAAGAAAAAAAATGTACTGTGGCTACAATTTCACTAAAGGATTAAAACAGTTGCCAAACTTTCATATTTTATGTCTCCTGATTAGTTCATTATACATTTCTGAATGTATAACATGCAAACTAGTTTTCGATATACATAGATCCCATGTTTTATATTATACATAATGTATATAATATATTGCATTATAAAATATTTGCAATATTTCATAAGATGGACAAAGTTAAGTTGTAACTCCAGTTACTTTAATTATTTTGTTAGTGTATAATATATATTGCTTTTGTGTATATTATATATATTTCACACATTCGTGAAAACATACTATTAAAATTTGAATACTATGTCAACTCTCAAAAATTGCTTTAAACTTAGTATATAAATATATATAATAGTAGTATTCACCATAAGCAATTGTAACGTTTAAAGAGATAACGATTTTTGAACATAGATATCAATAAGACATAAAACATTAGTACAATTTATATATAAGTATTTATAATTACGTTAATTTATGTTAATAATTTATGTTAATTGAATAATTTACTATCTGTTTGTTTAATAATGTTATAAGATTATTGAATAATAATTACGACAAGTGTTATATATCAAGTGTTATATATAACAGAATATATATAGGATTAGACATATGTAAAACTTGACAAGTAGATATTTTCAAAAATATTTATGAAAAAAAATATTGTTACAGGCAAATATTAGTGGACAAAGTTGTAGTGTTTTGAATTGTGCTTTTTTTTTATTTTTTTATTGATTAAAATATTGTTTATTTCGAAATATGTTTTGATCCAAATTTCGAACCATCTTCAAATAATTGATATCGTGCATCTTTGTGACATTGGAAATATTTAAATCCCATTTGTTATATCAGTCACGAGTTATTATTCTTTAATTAAAAGTGTATCAATCTTGATCTTAGAAAAGATTATTGTAACCTAATTTTCGCTGATTCTTCGAAGCCGGAAGATCAGGATTAAGTGACTTGATTAAAAAGTAACGGCTCGTAATTGATTTAACAAACAGGATTTAGACATTTACAGTGTCATGGATTCAATAAATAGGGTTTGGATGTTTCCAACTAAACAGAACCAAATAAATTATTCCTTTATGGCTGGAACCGGAAGGAGGCTTATTACATTGTATTACTTTATTCATTAGATGTTGTTGAAGGTAATAGAAAAACGCACGATTAAATTAATTATTATTTGTTGAAGATGATTCGAAATTTGAAGAGAGTTGAAGAGAATCAAAACATACATTTTGAAATAAACAACATTTGAAATTTTAAAAAGGAATAACTCGCGCTAGACTCTTAATTATATATTTGGCTACTTTTTGTATATTTTTGTAGGATGTCTAATTGCAATTTACATTGAAAAGAATAATGATCATAGCAATTCTAATGAATGCTAATCAAGGTCACAGCAGTGAAAAAACGGTTGTAGTGTTTATTTTTTAGCAACTTCACATAAAAAAATATTCTCGAAAGACGTATGCTCTAAAGTACTAGAATTTTGTCTAATATTGTTTTTCAAATTATTAACTTTTTTGTAAATATTCACTTGTCACACTGTACGTATTTCACTCCGTAGATTATAAAACAAATGTATAATGAATTGTTTCTCTTATAAGTAACTATATACTCTTCTTCCTTTCTTAAAAAAAATTATAAATTTGATTTTACAAATTTATTTTTGTTTCTGATTATTTTATTTCTTTGGTGTTAAAAGGTGTATCAGATTAGATAAAAATTTATATCGATAAGCTTATAATAAAAACAAAACTAATTGTTATAGATTGTATTAAAAGATGTAATAGTATATAATATAATATTGAAATGTCCCAGTTATATGACAATGATTAAGAACTATGATTAAAAGATATAGATCATATGTCTTAAATAGTTTAGATTAACTATTTAGTTATATTAAGATTTGCATAATTATAAATATTATTTTATAAACTGTTAACACACATTGTTAATTAACATTGTTTCGTCATCAAAGGTTCTTTACATACATAAAATAGTAAAACTTTTATGTATTGTAAGAAGTCTTTAATATGGAAACAATATGTTAATTTTAATGCTAATATAAGTTATTTTATATAAACTTATGAAAAAGTTTTGAGCACTCGTCTAAAGATTTACTTCTTCTATAACGTTTTATATAAAAATAGTAATGCTATTATGTATTATTTTATATAGTTTTGAAGTTATCGATATACTAATTATTTTAATTTAAGAACATTAATACTATAATAATGAGACTAAAGATCCCACACATATAAATATTAAGTAAACTAACAGAAACAATTTAGCTTACGTTTTTTTATAATTATATTCTCTGTAAAACAACAGAAAAGTTTAAAGTTCGAGAAATGTAATACATGCTATATATACAATATAGTAGTTAAATAGTTAATACAAGTATATCCTTACATCATAAAAGTATGAAATTGTGCAACAATATGTGCTCATCTATTGCAATAAGTAAACGAATAAAGTTCATTTATTCATTATTATTCACTTTTTTTATTATTTTATTACAATAGTACATGTCAATTATTAAAAGTTATGCATCAATTGCGTCTTATTCTTTAAAATTATACTTGATATTGTTACACTACTTGTGCATAAGACTCAAAAGTGGTAATGATTAGATATTTTATTTAATTTAGTGGATAAAAAAATTTACTTTATGCAAATCTAAAATGGATAATTAATTTTGTTTTTTATATGGATAAAACTTGGAAATGTTTGTTATATAATTACTGTCATTCTCAACCATCAGTGTATCTTACATTCACTATAATATTTAATTAATATGATTATGTATTGAAATTATTATTAATGAATAATAGTAATAAGCTGTGATAATATCATATAATGTAAGATATCTATATTGATGACTAATGTAATAAAATAAATTGTAACAAAAAATTGTTTTTTCTCTTTTTAAAACATACACTAAATATTTAAAAAATAATGATTATGAAGTTTTCTAAGATTGGCAAAAGTATAGTTCGTAATTAGGTGTTTCATTGTACGAATAATTATGAGATATTTTTTATTATCATATTGTTTTTTAAAACATTTAAGTATGAGAAATACATGTTACAAATTAAATTGAATATTGTACTCATTAATAGATATATAAATACAACATAACTTAAGAGATATGATTTATATGCTCTATTTAATATAATCTACCAATTAAAATTTGTATATTCTTATACCGCCAAAATCTGCTCCGTGACCGTGCATTAATATTACCTATTACCATGTATAGTGAAGTATTGTGGGATGTTACTTTTATCTCAAATTTTTAAGTTGAATATGTTGTGAGTACATGATAAATGCATTCTATATTGTTCAACCTACGCTGAAACATTAGAATCAAAGGTAAATGATTAAGATAGAAAATAATAAATAATTTAATTTTTATAGATAGAAATCATCATGAGAATAAACATGCAATGTATGTATATAGACATATTTTAATTATTTGTTCAATAAAGTTTAACAAGCTATAGTAATATGTTATTACCTGCAATGCCAGCAATTGCTTCTGAAGCAAAGTATTTTACATCCACGTCACTATCAGTATTCAGTTTATCGAGAATAGGTTTTACTTGAGTCTGAACTGCTGAAGGCTCGAGGAAAGGTCCAATTCGTTGGAACGTCTTAGCGACATTAAATCTTACATTTGCAACATTATCAGTAGCCATTGTCAATACAGTTGGAAGCATTACTTTTGTTGTTATTTCTGGACCACATACTTCAGCTAGAACCTATTATAAAAAATTGTTATAATATAATTTTTTTTAAATATCTTACTAGCACAATCCCCTTGTTTTAAAATCGTATGATATACTGATATAACTTACATTAATGCAGAACAAGCATGTCATTCTGTGAAGATAATTCTGATCTCTAGACATAGCCAACACTTTAGGTATCACTGTATTCTGTGCCCATTCGGGGCCAAACTTTTCTACCAATTTCTTCAAATTTAAAGTAGCTGCTTCCCGAATCGCATAAACATGATCCACCAACCAAGTCATACACAAAGAATTTAATTTCTCATCGAAGAATTCTACTCCAAGCTGTCCAGCTAACAATGGCATATACCTAAAATGCAAATCAATAATACAAGTATGTCATTTATTTTAACTCCAATTATATATATTAGACAATAAAAAAATTAACGTATAATTTCTCATACTCAATAATAGCTAGTCGCACACGCCATTTGGAATCCTCAGCTAATTCCACAATGGCAGGTAAGAGGGATTGTGAAAGTTGTTGTATGCCAATAACTTCGTTAACGCATTCGAGGTTGCTAATGATATTGAGTCGCACTTCTGGACATTCATCTCTAAGCTGAGATAAGAATAGAGGTAGTAGATGCTCAATCGTGCTGCAAAAATATTAAAAGTAATTAATATCGATATAATTATTGTATCTTGCTAGATTTCAAAATTATTTATTTTTACTTGTGCTTTCCAAGTATAGGACTCAATCCCATGATCACACTTGCTAAAGCTGACTTTACATGCTGGTTTGGATCTGCCACTAATTCTTTAACAATGGGTAATATATTTGTCATTATTATAGATTCCTGATTGAATTGATCAAGATTCTGGCAGAAATCGCGAACTTTATCAGCAGCTGCAGCCCGCACTTCTGCTTCAATATCCTTTAATAATACTTGAAATGCTGGCACAAGATCTGTTTTTGTTATTTCTGGACCAACAGCTTTTTGAAGCTACAAAAAATGTTAATAACTAGATAAAAATATATATATATATAAATTTCTTAAATAAAATATATAATTTTTATATTCTAAAAATAATTATATTTATTAAGTTTTAAACAACTAATACATACATCTGTAAACTTATCTGCCACCATGTAACGAACGCGCCATGACTGATCACTAGCACATTGTCGAAGAGTAGGCATGACCAACTGTTCAACATCTTCTTGTTGTAACAATGCAGCAATACTAACACAAGCTTCGACAGCTAAAAGACGAACTGAATCCTGTAAAATTATTATTGCATGTAATAATTTACTTGAAAAGCTAGAATTGTAAAATTTTATAATTTTAATGAACTTACTTGTTCGTCTTGAGCGAGTATAACAAACATGGGAATTAAATCTGATTTAAGATATTCAATTTCCACAACTTTTGCAAATTCTCCTAATTTAGAGGCAGCTGATCGTCGTGCCATAGGTGTATCATCCTGGCACAAGCTGCGAAAATGATTTCGCAATTCCGCTGTAACAGTCAAATTTTTAATATCCTTTCATATTTATTCTATATTAAAAATTTATTTAATATGAAGAGATAAAATTATTATACAATTACCTTTGATGGCTGGGCTCACTCTTGGATAACAAACGCTGAACAAGCCACATGCTGATGTCCTTGACGTAAACCAATCTCCTGAAGCTAAGCGCTGTACCAAAGGAACAAAGTGCTCTTCCAAATCTGCAGGACTGTGCTGGCTTGCAATATTTCTTAAAGATTCTACCGCTTTATCCCGAACCACAGTTTCTTCGACAGTGGCCAGAGATTCTAATGGTGGCTAAATTAAAAATTTACATTTATTTCTTTGATAAAATAGACTATTTAAATGACTGGAATTTATATTAAACACTATTCAAAATAAACCCAATATTATTACCAATAAACAATGCACGAATTCTGGCCCACCAACAAGTGGAGTAAATGTGCCAAGTTGCTCAGCCAATGCAAGAAGTACTTCATCCTCATCGTAAATAGTCTCTGTTAAAAATGGTATCAGTTCACTCCGTGTTCGTTCGATACCTAGCGCAAGTGCAATTGTTGATAGCTTTTTAATAGAATTGAGACGTAGCTGTAACAAAAAGAACATGTAATCAATGTATTTTGTAATGCATATCAATGTATTTAGAAATAAGAAATTATATTTTCGTATTTTAAGTTTTGAACTTAAGACTTTTTTCTTTTAAGTATTTGCATCAACACGTTCTCAACTTTGTCTACTGTTATACATATTATCTTTGAAATTACTATACATATATATCACAAATTAAGATAAAGGATATTACTAGCCTTTCTTTCGTGTACCGCTATGCTTTATTTAGTGATCGGGGGAACTTCGGAAGAAAACAAGTAGCAAAAGATCACTTTTTGTAATCGTTACAAGCAGTAATTACCTGAACGTCCTCGTTTTTTAGCTCGTCGATCAGAACCGCAATCGGATAGAGGCTGTCGTCCGTGGTAGAGTCACTCGCTGCCATTTTGCTGCCGGACACAGACAATTTGATGCGCCGCACGTTTGGAAGGACTCCTCACCGTGTCGCGTTGACGCGTCGACGCCGATGCTCACGTTTTCGAAGCTCGAATTGAATCTCTCAGGATGTTACATATAATTACAGCATAATTGTGAACCTGATTTTCAGTAATTCAGAAGAGTGCTCGATATATATCTCGCAACTCCCCACGCGACTCCATGAATCATTGACGCTCACACTACAACAATAATGATCCAATTTGCCAGCAGATGGCGTCTTCTTATGTTCACGACAGAGAATCTTTCCGAAAGTGAGAATAATTTTGTATATATAATATATATAATGTATATTTAATTTTTTTTTTTCAAATAATAATAATCTTTTTATATAGAGCCTTGCTTATAAATATCGATTAATGTTACGTTGATTGCTCATTTTTAGGTAAGATTGTTTGTAGAATGTTTATAGAATGGAATGAAATATAACCTCTCTTTATATGTGTAAAATATAATTTTCATGTTGCAAAAGTAGTCAGATATCTCACTGATATTCAATTATTGTATATTATTGTGTCGAATTTTTAAGGGAAAATATTATATTTTCGATATCTTACATCATGTGTTTATTCGTATTCGACTTTAAGCAATTTTGAATTTTTGCGCCAAAATATTCCATTACTGCTCGGCGAGTTTCGATATATCTCGTGTGTAATCCTTCGAATTGATTGGCTAAAATACAAATTTCGATTCGATAAGTCGAATCGACGATTCCGCCAATAAGGCGACTCGACACACGTCCGCGAGTTATCGCAAAATTTGACCAATCAGTACAAAGAGATTTTGGCGCTCTTTATCCTGATTGGTTCAAGACGCTACGTGCCCAATTCAACGATTTCTTCTTCCTCTTTTAGCGCGGTAACATCCTGGCGCGGTAATATCCGGAAGATCGAGATTTCGTGCTCCGATATCTGCGCAGATATAAGACGGTAAGGAGATCAATCGAGTCAAATAAACGCAATAATTTGCAATAGTATTGTCTTCCGAATATATTAATATTTCATAGTTTTGTAGCATGTTAGATCGAAATTTCGAGAACTAAAAATCGGGAGTGCTGAACAAAGTATCGCGCATTTTTGTGCGGGAGTGTCGTCAAAATGTCGCGCGTATAAATCAACAAATTTTGATAATGCTGACCAAACTGGAAATAGGCCCAGGGAGCGTCGTCGTCGAAACAATTCTGCCGTATGTATCTGTGTGTTATTTTATTTATTGTATTAAATAAAAAATATTAGTAGTTATTGTGCATTATAAATAAATAAAATTCGTAAAATTATTCAATCATTAATTGTTACTTTTTTTATACATCAAATATAAAATTTAATGCATATAATAATAATATTTTTAAAAATATTTTGAATATTGCTACAATTTAATTATTTAATTTGTGAATGTTACAGATCAATCCAACTGAGCAATCGTGGGATGAATTTCAATGCAGAAAAGCGTTTTCAAAATGTCCTACGTATAAATCAACAAATTTTGATAATTCTGATCAAATTGAAAGCAGGAGCAGACTCAGGGGGCATCAACGTCGAAGCAATTCTAGAGTTAGTATCTATATGTTATTTGTTTAATGTATTAAATAAAAAATTATTAATTAGTTGTATTAAATCAAAATTTGTAAAATTATTTGTTATTTTTGCTATTTATTCTTTTATGCATTAAATATAAAATTCAATATATACAATAATAATTTTAAAAAATATTAGTTATTTAATTGAATATTGCTACAGTTTTATTTAATTTGTATGTTACAGATCAATCCACCTGAGCAATTCTGCGGTATTCAAATTTTAAAGGAGATATTGGTTTTAATTTTTTTCTGAATTTCAATTAGAATTAGCAATTATATATGATACTTGCTAATACATTGCCTAAAGTAATTATTTACAATAGCATTGTCTCCTTGAAATATATATTGTAGGAATATTTAATAATTTCATAACATATTAGATCGAAATTTCGAGAAATAAAAATTGGAAGTGCCGAGTAAAGTATCGCGCATTTTAGTGCGGGAGTGTCGAATAAAATATCGCGCGTTTTAGTGCGAGAGTGTCGTTTAAAATGTCGTGCGTTTCAACTTTTGACCATCCTGACCAGGCTGAGAGGAGGAGCAGGGTCAGGGGGCATCGGGCATCGTCGAAGTAACTCTAGAGTTAGTATCTGTTATTTAATAAAAAATTATTAGTTCTATATTAGATCAAAATTTGTAAAATTTAATTATTATTTGTCATTTTTTATGCATCAAAAATATAATTTAATATACATATGAAATAATAATTTTTAAAAATATTAGTTATTTTGAACACTGCTACAATTTGTATTTATTTTGTATGTTACAGATTAATTCAAGCGCTCCTGGGGTAAGTTTATTATTTATTTTTATATTTATTGTTTGTTTATAGTTGTACTGTTTGCAACTAGTACATCAATGTGTTTATCTATTATTTGAATAGAATATGCATTTTAAATGGCAATTTTAAAAAAGATTGGTTCTAATTTTCTTTTGAAATTTTATTTATAATCAGCAAATATATATAAGATTTGCTAATATATTGCTTTAAATTAAGTAAATAATATAAAAACGAATAATATAAAAACAGCACAGAAAACGTTTAATACATTTCACTGGTATTACAATCAAATCTTCCTTGTTAATAATACTTGAGTTTTCTGCAATTAAATTTATTATATTTATATATAATTATATATATTCTATATGTTTTTAATATTTATATTTATATTTATTAAATATCATAATATTTATACTATCATTATCAATATTAATATTAAATATTATAATATTATATATATAATACATATATTACAAGTGTCATATATAAAAATACAATTTTGAAATATAATTTTGTAATTTTTATAATATTTATGATAAAATTTTTAAAAATTTGAGCATTATGTTATGTGTATAATAAAAAATTATTCAGGCATATTTTTATTAAAAAAATGTTTGCTTGAATATTTTTGTAACACAAGGCATAACGATCAAATTTCTAAGAAATTTTATCATGAGTGTCATAAGAATTATATTTTAAAACTGTTTTTACACATATTATACAAAACCATTAAAATCTGTTATTCTAATGCAACAAGAAAGAAATAAAAAGAGATAAAAAATTAATAAAATATTATCAAGTTCTTATTTTAATATTGTATGTATTATATGTGTGTGTACATATGGTACATGCATATAAGCAGAGAAAGAAAAGGTAAGAGAAATAATAAAAGATATACAAATCAATGCGAGACTTTTTACGATGAGAGAATACCAGCTTGTAAGTTAGTGCTGAAGATAAATGTATACAAATAGGATTTCTCTTCTCAGAATGAAGTCTCTTTTGCGCATTTTTGTAAATAGAAATAAATCTTACTTTAGTAAAACCCCTTCTGTATTTGCACGCAATGGCATCAATTTTTCACAGGTAAGAGCAGTATATTGTTTGAAAATAATAATAAATTATTGTACGTGATTATTCTCTTTTATAATTTTTATCATCATAAAAAGTGATTCTATCATAGACATTTGCATTAATATCTAGGAATCTTATCGCTGAACAAATATAAAATGCGCACTGCGATCGTATTTAGTGCTAGCAATGCTTATCACAATATCTCGAGATACTTATAAATAATCAAGTTATTTTTTTTCTTCAGACAATTTTGTGTAGAAACTTCGTTACGTTTATTATCAGATCGTGTCAACATTAATTTATATCTCTTAACAATTTTAATGAGATTAAAGTTTTTGATGACATGGTTGGCAATATAGACATTATTAAAAATTATGATCGATATGAAAGATCAAGAAAACGGTTTTTATATTGTAGTTATACAAGTGATATTATTAACATATCATGAATGGATTACGAAAATTCCAAAAATTGTTTCACATTACGGTATGTTCAGTTATATTCTTTTTAATTGGAGATTTTCTCCAGTAATTCGAATTAATCGAATAGAATTTTAGAATAATTAATTAATAAAAATTTTAATTTTAATTTCCACAAGTTATTTTTACGCAGCATTGTTTTATTTTACTTTTATTAAAATATTAAGAATATTTAATATATATTTAGTATTTTACAGTAAATACTAAATGCTAATTAAGAATTTTTATTAAATTACTCCATTCTCTGTCTATTATTGATTAATCTTTTTATTAAATTACTCCATTCTCTGTCTATTATTGATTAATCTTTTATTAAATTACTCCATTCTCTGTCTAATTGATTAATCTGGGAAAATATGTAAGTGCCTATTCTCTATCTTTATGTACATATAACGTTCAATGGATTTTCAATCCCAACTGTTATATCAATTATTAGAAAAAGTCAATAGTTAATATAATTAATTGATGTTTTTTCGGTACATTATATCTTATAGATATTATTTTACATTTAATATGGATATAATATGACGATTATACTTGGAATAAAATATTTCTAAATTTATGAGTAATTCGAAGAATAAGATATCTATATTAATACAGCCATATGTTTCAACTTAACTTTATTTCATGATTTAATAAAAAATTAAATTTTTAGAGAAAAAACAACAAATATTAAACTAATGCAAAAACCTGTAAAATTCATAGAATAGTCCGAATTAATAGATGGAGAGGATTACATTGAAAATTGTTGACGAAGTAATTTTAAATCAATAAGTAAAAGAAAATTAGTAATAATTATTAGAATCATATAAGTTTTTACTTGTTGTTGATAAAATTAAAATATGTAATTTTAATCTATTTTATATATAGTGTGTAGTCTAACTATCTAATCTTTTCCAATATTATAAATATATATGTATATGTATACATATATTAATAATAATGAATGTCGCAATTTTTAATGGTAATTGAAAAATTGTTGACAGAGTAATTTTAAATCAGTAAGTAAAAGAAAATTAGTAATAATTATTAGAATTATATAAGTTTTTACTTGTTGTTGATAAAATTAAAATATGTAATTTTAATCTATTTTATATATAGTGTGTAGTCTAACTATCTAATCTTTTCCAATATTACAAATATATGTATATGTATACATATATTAATAATAATGAATGTCGCAATTTTTAATGGTAATAAGTAATACAAATTATTAATAATACGTAATAAGTTTTTTAATATAATAGTATTTTAAATTTTTTTATTCCGAGATTTAATTTTTAAAAAATAATTTAAAATATTTATTTATAGAACAAAGTAAAAAAAATTTAATTAAAATAAAAAAGAAAATATTATTTATTACTTACGTCTTCTTATAAAATAATAATTACATTCTATCTATTTTCTGATTATGTTAAAGTGTCACTTATATATGATTATGTAAATTTAATACAATTAGATAAAATAAATAAGAATAGAAAAGTAAAGAAGGTCTGTAATATTTTTCGTACTTTTTATTCCGTGCGATGTCATTAACATTGAACTTAAAAAAAATAAAATGCTCTGACTTTATCAGTGGATTTGATTGCTTCGAGAGTATTATCATTATTAATCTTTATCGATAAATTCGATTTAATTGATTATATCTCATATATTTAGTATGATAAAATGCTACCATTAATATTTAAAAAAGATAACTTTAGAAAAAAACTCCTCCCTTTAAGTACGCAAATGATATTGTATCAAATGTGTGATCTCTCTTCCGCAAAGTTTATATTTATTATAATTAAAATATAGTTTACTATACATTTATATGTATAGTATATGAACATCTTAATTCAATTTTGTAATTCAATAATCACAAAAATTAATAATTTTTAGATTTCAAATAATACATTATTTTTATGCTCCGTCTGAGAAAAGTATTTTGTGAAATATTTTTTATTTTTTTATTTAGAATCGAATAATATAAATAGAAATAAAGTAAATAATATTATCATAATATTTTACATTTTTTAATTTTTATTAACTGCGTCTTAATGAAATATCACATATTGTTTTTACATATTTTTACATTATATTTATACTTTAACAACCTCCCACTTGAGCCCATATTGAATGTTGGTGTGTCACTTTTAATATATTTCTTTTTATTAATTCATTATTTTTGATAGTCCTGAAGTTTTCTCTTCAGCGTCTGATGTTGCATTTACATTATTCCATCTAATATAAATAATATAAAATATATTATAAAATACTGAATATTAGGAAAATTACCACTCTTTTCCGCGAATTAAAATAAATTAAATATACATATGTACCATATTTATATTTAATTAAATATATATATATTTAATCAAAACAAATCTAAACACGCCTTAATAGCTAAGATTATTATATTTAACAATATAATATTTACTCTATTGCTGTTTGGCATGCCCTGGGTTAAGTCCTTCTTTCTTTTGTGCAATATATAATTCGTTTCCCGTTATAAACATCTTCTCGAGGCGATTCGGATGATAAAGAATCTCGTACCTTTTAAGAAAATATATTAATAGAATAAAGAAAAAATATGATAAAAAATTATTCTCTTATTACTCGTTATGAGTGCATTATATAAAATGTTTGTAATTTTTTTAATACCGCTTCTACTGCTTGGAAAACGCGAAGAAAATTTCTCCCAGCCAATTTTTCTAAATCCTCTCTGGTCCATATTGGTTCTTCTTCCCGATTCTCATATAAACGATCAAATAGATCGGGGTATTTCGAGACATCTTCCAAGCCCATCGGCATTCTAATTAATTTCATTAAACATATTTCATATTCACAATTATTTGAATTTTTTTGTATTAATTTAATTATTAGCACAAATTCGCAATGTACGAATGCATAATATTCGTATTATTAGGATTAAAATAATTACTTACGAGGATACACCATCATAATCTCCGCCAATACCAACATGATTTACTCCGATAAGATTTCGAATGTGATTTATATGATCTAAAAAGGTCAATACGTATATTTTTACATTTTGATTTGATCAATGCTCAATAGAAAGTAAATTACCACTAAAATTAAGAGAATACGTGTGTCGCATACATTCAGATTTTGTAAAATTGTGAGAATAAAAATGAAAAATAATCATATTGAAAAAGAAAATTGTATAATGCTAGATAATGTTTATGTGTAGAGAAAAAAAGAGACGATTTTTTATATATTATTTTACATACATATGTTATTATCTTTAATTTTTGAGATACAAATCGTGTTTACCGAGCAAAGTTTAGAAAATCATTGTAAAACTTAATTGATGAAAAATTTCAAAAGTATTGTACTAAAACACATATCGTATAGTTATAATTAATGCCTAATTGAATACAGTACCTACGACATCCTGTAGCGTCGCGTTTCTGGAAGAATTACAATTTACAAAACCGCTAAAGAAATTCACCATAACGATACCATTGTTCTTTTTCTGAAAGAAAATAAGCATGCTTTTGAAACTTTTGCATTTCTTCTTAAAAGCATTTCTCGTTATATATACTTACGACTAGATGTAGAACGTCATCGGGAACGTTCCTGTAGTGTTTGCAAACACTGAAAGCGGACGAATGCGAAAATATGACGGGAGCTCTTGTTATTGCGAGAACTTCTTTCATAACATTGTGAGAGACATGAGATAAATCGACCAACATTCCAATTCGATTCATTTCGTAAACCACTGTCTATAATAAAATATCATTATTAGGAGAAATTGGCGGCAGTTGACATATTTTTAGTTTTTATTTAAAACTACAAATTTTTGTGATGATCAGGTTAATTTAGAACGATTATTGTTTAAGTCGTTTTTCATGTGCAATTAATAGATGTTAATTGTATTAATTTTCGAAAATTTTTTCTAATATGCGCATTGTAACAAAGAAGGCAATCAATATTTTAGCTTTTTAATCAATATTTTAGCTTGTCATGAGTTTCTGTTTGATCAAATTCCGGTATATCACATTAATCTGATATATCAATTTATCTCTTAGCTACTGTTTCGTATCAGTCTCGTGTTATAATCTCGTAAAAATTTGTCGAACGCTTGTGAAACAATAATTCGAGTTTTTCTTATTATAAGATGTATAAAGTAAAAATAACTAAAAATTAAATAATTCTGATATACTTTTCCAAATTCTGTCAGGTTGTATACATATCCGTTATCCACAATCGACGCATCGGCCCTGTAAAAATAAAAATAATAAAATTTATCATCTCATTATATTCTCTCATTATATTCTATGATACAAGATAAAGTGCTTTTGCGTGTTTCTAATGCAGAAAATTTAATGGAATTATTGCATCTATAAATAGTATCAAAATTTGCGTTATCGAGAGATAATTATCAAAAGAGATAAGAACTTGTATTTATATGTACAACGTGATTAAAATTTAATACCGTATCTCGTAGTTTATATTTTGAATACGGAAAGTTCGCGCACAATATAGAGCTTAATAGAGATATAATTGCTTAATACAGAAATTAATTGAGATATAATCGCGATAAACGAGCGAAAAATTCTACTATTTGCAGCGCTCACGGCAACGTACCACGGTGTATTGCAAGAGTGTGTCAAGGTAACGTAACGAACTCCGAGATCATAATAGAGTCTTAAGACGGCCAAACTCGAGTCAAGCGAATGACCACCTTCGACGGCTATCATAGATGCAATTTTGCCATTCCTCCATGTGGTTTCAATGTCTCCCGCGGCAGTGACCAGTTGCAAATTGGCTGGATATCGTTGAACAAATCGTTTGATTACATCGATCTGTCGCAATGTTAATTGTACAGAATCTTTGTATTGCGACTCGCATGGTGCGTATGCCACCCAGAACTGAAAAATTTCATTAATTTCGTGATAGAATCAGAAGTGTTTTAAAAAGTTGAAATAACAATCTTCTTCACTGAAAAAATGACTAAATTATAATAAATATTTATTTCAATACTGCCGAATGAATCATTTATTTGAAACAAATAAATATTGATTTGTTTTGAAAAGGATTTTCTTATATCAAATAAATCTTTTTCATATTAAATCAATATTATATTAGTTTCAAATAAATGATTTATTTGGCAGTATTGAAATAAATACTTATTCGAATTCAATAAATTTTTTTCAGTGTTATGACATGTAGTGAAAAATAAAATAATAGACAAAGATGTAAGAAAAGCAAAGATAGATAATTTTTTGTAGAATAAGACAATGAACTCAAGATGAAATGACTGATACATTAATTGTTGAATAAATAAGTTGCGAATACCTGACGATAATTAATTTTATGTTATCTTGTATGCGAGATATGTGACTTACTTGTCCACCCACTTTTCCTGCGTTTAAGCGAGGTAGATCAGTGAAACACGAGGAACAAGCGTTTCTTCCCCAGGCAACGTCATTCCTTAGATCGTTTTCGAAATGAAAGGCTGACAAGTTGTTGTTCAAGATTTCATAGAAATTGAATGGTAAATCATTATGGCTACAAACATATAATAGATAAATACATTTAATTAATTAAAAAGAAAGAGACAAGTTATAGATGTGCGATAAAATTGATTAATCTTCGATCATTCATTTAATTTGTATTTTACAAGAATAAATCTTGTTATTATTTTTGAATAATGATATAATGTAATAATATGATTTATTGCAATACATAAACAAAATGTATATGAAAAAATTTACGTTTGTGGAAAATGTAAGAAAATATTAATACAAAAGAATAAGCCTTATCTGATTTTCTAAGATAAAGATCTGATAAAATGTAGCCATAGCTCTTCAATTTAATTGAATTTAATTGACTTATACTAATATAACTACTGAAGATTATTCATCAACGATTAATGCTGTCTTTAAATGATATCGATGGAACAAAAATAGATTTAAGTTATTAATTTTTTTATATGCAGTCTAGCTTCTCAATTGCATTATTGAATTACCCGTCAATCAGAGGCGCCGTATCGAGAGCATCTCGTCCTTTAAATGCGTTCATGCTCAACCCTACGGATAATCCAATCACAAGTAGAAGAACTGACAGACTGACGGCAACACTAATATATAACATTTTTCCCGTACAATATTGAAAAATAACACCTGGAAAAGATAAAAATGTAGCAAAATTAAAACTTTTGTTACAGAGAGCAAAGCTAAACACATACACACACAGTTTTTGTAATTTACATATACACATACGTATACATATATGTATATGTATATACAACTACACATTGACCTGATATATTATAAACAAAATTATAAAATAAATATTCATTTCTATTGTACACTATTATTTTTTCAATAATATTTAAAATAAAAAATAAGTATTTGCAAAAATTTTATAAAAAACGACAAGTACATACATAATTACACATAAACATATATCTTATTATTATTACGAATTTTCTAAATTTTTAATTAGTTATATTTTTAATGACAGTTAAAATGCAGACAAGATAGAATTATTCAAAGTTGCGCACATACACGCTTCGATAACAGAATGTTTATACTTATAGTCGTAATTTTTCAATAAAGGTATTCATACTTGGTTTATGAATGATAAATGCTGTTGATTCATTTAGTCACTTATATGTCGAATAGATGATAGTTTTTATAATAGACGTTACTGATACATAAGCAAGCATATAGAGGTAATCACTTTTTCAAATGTGTATTTTCTTAATAATTTAATATTGATATACGAATCGGGATAAATGTAAAATGAATCGTGAATAAAATGTATGCAAATGTACTTTAGTTCGTGTATAGGAGAATATACATAAAAAAATTTTGATTTTTATGTATAAAATTTCTTATATATTTTTTACATTGCTATAAGACTATGTATAAAAAGGAAGTAAAGAAGGAAGAGAGTGGTGAATTCTAAATTTGCGATAAATAATTTTGCAACAAATTCGGTAATAAAAAATACTAACAAAATATCAAACAAAAAGTTTCTTGTTTGATTAATTTTTTATTAATTACATCACTTACCACTATAGGTTGTAGATATGAGGTTTATATGAAATGTATAGAATGTACAAATCAAGCGAAAGAGAGATCACTACGTGTGTCGATATAAATTGGAAAATGATATCAAGAAAAAGTTGTAAGCAATATATGTGGTATAATAGACATATGTATTTATAAGAAAAATCTGATAATTATATCTTCAATTATTAATCAATTATCTTTGATGTGATCCTTGATAAGCCCGATAAAAAATCGTAGAAATTACTCAGCAATAAAATCGTGATATTTGCTCGATGTTAGCACGTTTAACGATCGTTGTTAAAATATTTTAACATTGTCATTTCCTTTTTTATCTAATCAAAAAAGATGAATATTTTTTAGATGACTCTTTAAATTCACGCATTATTTTGAAACATTAAATTTATGTCAATAATATGTTATTAATAAGTTGAATTCAAAACCACTAAAAGATTGGATCTTTATTATGATACATGTAATTATGTGAAATAATTATACTTACAATACTAGAAAATAAAATTACCAATCTCACGTTATTAATTGAACGTTATCAGTTTGTCTGATTGAAGGCACAAAATTGACGGTTCAGGATTTATATATACTATATATTTTGAGACTCCCATCATAATTAGATTATTAATCTAATTAATCAGCATATGAATAAATGTATCGTAACAAATGTTATCATAATTAAGTTTAATTTATTCCAAACGAATTGTAATTAATACATATAATAAATATTTTTGCTTCAATGTACGAGAATTTCTTACCAATTAATTGAAATTTTTGATACGTTAATCCATTTGATAGCAAACCGTGTAAGATAAGAAAACTACAAATACAAACCAGTTGTAACATCAGCTTATCGCATTAGTAGAGTATCATCTTTTCGTAAAAGTTTCCATTGCGCGTGATATTTTCGTAATATCTTATTTTTGGCAAGGAACAAGCATAAACGCTTAATAATTACACACATATACTCGTGTATACACATGCACACTTACATTATTTAATACACACAATTACATTCTTATTTAAATAAATAAAATTCAAATTTTATGTAAATTGTTATATTTATACAAATATAAAAGGACTACAAGAGAGCGAGACGCGTCACAAATATATTTTTTATTAAAAAAATTAATTATTTTACTACACACAAAGATGATAGCGATGAATCGATAAACGATCTGCAATGACACGCTGAATTTTTTAAAGCGATCCAAAGTAATGATTATTGTCAACATATTATGCGTTTTAAAAATTATTGTTTAATATTCGCCAAAATATATTTTATCGAGCATTATGCTCTTATAAATCAATACGATAAGTACTAGATTCACCCATGGCAAACGTAGCAAAGCATTCCTCCGACGATGAGATCAAGCGGTATACTGTCGAGAGACGGCATCGCCTTGAGATACCTTTAGTATGTAGTTCTAATATACATATGTATATATGATGGAGCTTTATGCGATAATACATTAGCTTACATGCTATGTTTGACATCTCACTTTAAAAGCGACAAAGTCCGTGACGTAGCAATGTTGCTCTGGTAGCAAAGCATTCTCGACGAAAACTCACTATTTCTTATATTTACTATTAAATAACTTGATGACAATGCTGATTACATTTTTTATGCTATAGATAATAAACGTGTCTGTGATTATGTGGATGTAAACGCACCCTTTTGATGATTATTATTATTAGATTTCGTATTTATTAATAATTGAACATTTTTTTTGTTGGTCATTCGAAATCTAATGCATAATCGATATATATATATATATATATATATATATATATATAAGAGGTTGTTTTATACCATTAATTAAAACTAATAATAATTTCAAGTAATAATTTCGAGGTTTACAAGATTGTAAGAACGCGTGCAAGAACAACTTCTTGATTTTTTTTTCGATATTCGGAAACGCGAATAGTTAATTAAGACTTTTTATATACTTTTATTATATAACGATTTTTTTATTGATTTTTATGTAATTATGCATCATGTCAGATTGTCTAAATAATTATGCAAATTTTTAATATAGATATATGCGCATATTTTTATTAAATAAAAAGATTAAATAAAAATATATCTACATTGGAGAAAAAGAGCGAAGAAGAGAAGGAGAAAATATTATATAGTTAGCAACAGACGATAAGACGGTCTTCTTCTATATTAACAGCAGTATACAGCCATAGTTAATATAAAATAATTTGCAAAATAGAAATAATAATCGATAATGATAATTGGTAGAATGTCTAATTTATGTGAAACTCTAGTTTGGAATATTCTATTTAATTATTAGCAAAGTCAGAGTATTTATTTTATCGATTTGTCTTATATAATTTGTCTCTATATAACGCAGAAAGATGACACTATGTGATAAATATATTGTTTAGAAAATGATACTATTGAACAAGGCTTAAATTTTTTCAGTTTTAATTAAAATTATTGTTAATCACACAAAATTAAAAATTGACTGATTTCTAATACATTTTAATAAATATTTATGATGACTATAAGAATATAAAATAGCAAAACACATTTTTAGACTTGCTTTTAATAAATTATATATAAAACAAAGCAAGAATATGTATATTTGCAGACAATTTTTAAATTTTCAATATTAATTTGAGAAGTAAAATATGATAATATCCAATATTCTTGATTTTGAGATTCAAATTATATATTCAGTATTTAATTATTAAATAGTTTAATATCGGATACACTAAACTATTAATAGTGTATAATATCTTAATATATATACATAATATTATTAATTAAAACAGTTCCAACAATAAATAACCTTTTTCTAAATACTCTTCAAGCGCTATTGAGAAATTTAATAAAAAATATACCTTATATTAAAGTTTTTTAAAAATTGATACATATCTTGCAAACAATTTACTGTATGGATGAAAAAAGTATGAAGTTTGCTGCACGAAAAATAGGGATCAATTAAGATTACTATCGTTATCATACATGTTTTAAAGTCTGTTTATTAACTTTTTTCGTGTCAAATGAAAATTTCGCACCAATGTCGAAGTATTCTTTGGATTCTTTGGAGAGTATTGAGGAAGATTCATTTGAAAAAAATGTTTTGATGAATAATAATAATGATAATAATAATGATAATAATAATGATAATGATAATGATACTAACCTCGAAGAAATCAAATCCATTGATAAATTTGTCAAGGACATTTTATTTCCTTTAAGTTCAATATTAACGACATCGCATGGAATAAAAGGTACGAAAGATGTAAAAGTTAATTGGGCAGAATCGAGCTTACGAAAGAAGTTTAAAAATAGCTATATAATGAAATAATATATATCAATATATTTTTGATAGAGAACTTTTTCGTTTTTGTGTTGTGATATTATATTTTGTAAAATTATGCACGCCAAATTAATTGTAAATCAAAAATATGGAGAACTTATACATATATGTAACAAACACATACCTAGAAAGTGAGATTTAGTAAAAAACTAAAATCTCTTCATATTTCTTTAATATCTCTGAAAAGTAATTAATACTTTGGGATTGAAATTCCATATTTTCACATTATATTGAAAATATCTCTTCTTTCTTTCTTTTCATCGGCGGGAGATAATTGTGCGCGTTATAAATAATAAAATGGCGCGCTGCAAAATGATAAAACGATGCTCTGCGTAATGCAATTCGATTTCCTGTAACCTTCGGAAGCCGTGGCTTTTGCGGACGAACGAACGAGTTCCCGGATATCGTGCGCTAATTAATTAATGATCGGCGCATAGTAGCGTTGACTTAGCGGCGATCGTTGGGAAATCGATCGAAAGTTCGACGGCAGTTTGGGAACACGGAACCGAAGCGAGCGCAGGACTGAAGGCGATCGATCGCCTCGTTAACGACAGTACCAATTATATAATATAAAACGTAATATCTCTGGTCGAGACTCGTGGTCGTTCGCGGTAATGTAAAACTCAGCGGGATAATTAAAGCGACGAGCAAAGTTAGACGGAATAAGGCAAAGCGCGGGGGTGTAACACGAATAGCAAGGAAACCCGCTTATCGATTCTAACAAGAAGAATGGATGGAGTAAGAGTGATTTTATTATGTTCCGGAAAAAAATGTTGGAAAAATTCAAACTTTTTTTAAAGCGATAAATCAATGTTAAACGTCAGCAGAATAGACATACTACCTATATGTATTTATAACGTAATGCAAACCTAATTATTAACAAATAAAAACTTATATAAATGTATGAAATAAAATATCAAGAAGAATATTTTATGTTATCTTCGACGGAGAAAATACTATATCTAATCTCATGTTCCGACAACATTTTAGACAATACGACGGAGCCCAGTGGGACCGTACGTGGGGACAGGTGCGCGAGAATAACCGACGTCAGAAATTCGATAACTGCGAGTGGAAGAAGATTCGTCAGACGACGACAGGAGAGCAGGTCGACGTGGGATGAATCGCGGCTTCGTATAAGAAAGGGGGATGATGTCGTTGGGGAACGTGAAGAAGAAGAAAGCGACGCGAATCGTCGTTGTTGTCATACGTCGACGGAGCAATGTTCCCCGGAGACGCAAAATTCTTCATCAAAATATAACCTGCGCAACAACGGGAGCGACACCAAGACCGACAAAAGGCTTGGTAACGTGTTCGCACCGTGGACTCGACCGGCTAGGACCTCGTATTCGGAACTTCACCGTCGTAGATCCAGTTAGTCCCTAATCAGATGGAACTTCTCCTTCAATGCGGAACAATGCCGAAACGCGCCACCAATCCTGGTCCCCATCATCCTGCCGAGGAAAAAAGGACGACGCGAAACGATGCAATTTTCCCCGAGGACGTTTACTTTCTTTCGTGATTAGAAGGGGGATGTGTTGGGACTGGGTGGAAGGGATATGAGGAGAGATTCTCAATCCGGCGAACGAGTCTCGTTGGATAACTTGACGTTGCCGGTCTCTTTTCTAAAGTGGCTAGATTTTTAAATTGCAAAAGTGAGAGACCAATTCGTGTTTAGAATTCAATGTCTCTTCTGAATCCGCATGAGAAGCATGACGACAAATGTGCCTATTTAAGAGTATTTTCATGAATATGAAGATTAAAATCACTTCAGAAATGGAAGCGATAATCTATCTCTTTTTCTTAAACTTAACTTTTATTGTCATATACTCAGAGAAATTATTGATATTGATTTTTGTATATAAATACGAATGTGCGAGATCTTTCTTTTCTCTTTTCAGAAAAGAGAAGCTTATTGTGTATTTTATGCGAGTCTCGTTAATTTTTATTGGAAATTTTCTCTTCGTCGTGTAGGTACATAAGTTTCGATTAACGTTACACTGACACGATTGGGAATATTAAATCACATGTTAGGGTTTTATCTAAACATATCGTTATGCATATGGAATTTTCATTTTGCGAGAGACTCTTCGCAAAAGAGATTCTACCGCGGCACAATGTAGGCATAGCTGCCACCGTTTTTATATATTAAAGCACGACAAAGTTATACGATAAAAAAAGTGACATTTTTATGAAAGAGTTTTTATTAAAGCATTCGCTCTCTGTAAAATATCTCGAACTTTCCGGAATTGCTTTAACCGGTTATACTTTTTTGCCGTAGATCCTTTGATTGTAAAAAGAAAACTTTTTCATATGCAAAAAGGGTCACCTTAAATAATTATTAAAATAATTATCAATAAAATAGTTAAATAATTATTTAAACAAGATACATATTCTTTTTCTTTAAAAAGGAAAATTAATATATATATATATATATATATATATATATATATATATATATGTATAATATATTCGTATTTTAAATTTAAATAAAATAAAATAAACTAGATTAGGAACAAATTATCTAATTGAGATTAAAATTATAATTTAGTATTATATATATATATATATATATATATATATATATATATATTAATGGAAATACAACTAAAGTGGTACATTTGTCTGTCAAGTATACTCTGTTTTTTTAAGTAAAACAAGATTTTATAGACAGCAGTTAAAAAACATATGATAGTGGTTCTCTTATCCTTGCTTTTAAAAATTCATCTTATAGAGGTATGACGCGTTGCAAACTTTTCAAGCATTATTCTCTTCAACAAAAAGCTCCTACCTCGAAAAGTCGATAGCGTCATTTCTCATGTCACTGGCTGCCGCTTTTCACGTCACTTTTCCTTTTCGCGCGGAATTCATTCTTCTGTCTGTACCGATGAGTGTGGTAATTCATGATTACATAAATCAAAGTATCTGCATGCGGCCGTTTTGATCCGACGATACTCGTTCGCCATTACGTTCATCAAGGCTAATTTCGGCAATGTGTCGCGTGTCGCGCAATTAACATGAAAAATTAGTTCGCAGTTTCCTTTTGAAGGTATTCCGAGGTGTTCGCGCATTCGGTCTCCGCAGGATTCCACCCTGTCGATTTGCGGTGACAGCCAACCTAGGGAGCTCAGTCTGGACGAAAGTCGTTCATCTCTTCCAGGCACCTCGAGGGACGATAGTAGCGAGCTCAGCTTCTATCGTCGCATTGTTGAAGGTCACGTTACAACGCAAGCTACACGATCCTGCGAGATACCGCATCGAGGAATACTTTCAAATATCCTCTTTCCGGGAGAGCAATGCGAGCGTAGCGGTTCGGATAAGTTGAAGAAACCGACATATCGTCCGTACACCATCGAGGAATATAGGAGTCTATCGGTGCCAAGGCCTGATCGATCTCTGGGTCCTGATAAGGACGAAGTGCAAGCAAAGGTACGTTTTCACAAAATAATAATAATTTGATTTATTATATTAATTATTATAATTATATCTATATAATTCCGAGATGGATGGCAAATACCAATAGAGTAGAAAAATGAAATATATAATAGATAATTATACAATGAAGTTATAAAATAATATACCTAATGAAAAAAAGGTACCTATATTGCAAATATATAAAATAAAAATGTATTCGATTCGCGCGATATTATAATTTGATATAGGAAAGAACACGTTTCTGATAGTACGTTTTTCAACATACATTATAAGTTATACAGAGTTCTGACGTGTTTGAAACGCGCGATATTTCTCCGACATTTCTCTGTCTATATAGATAGAAAATCGGGATCAGATTGTTGAAGCGAGATTTAGAGGCACGGCACGCAATTCTCATTTCCGAAAACTTATCTGTCGCCCGCGCGTTCGATCAAAGTTTCCGGGACAAGGAAAGTTTCCTCGCTTCGATAATTCACGTTTTCTATATTGCTCTCTTGATAATGAGTGTAAAAGTATTTTATATTACTCGAGAACGTCATTAAAACTTGGCGTGCCGAGTTCGCTTGTGCTTTTATCGCGAAATTTATCTTCGCCCGTTTCTTTTATCCTTATCCTTTTATCTCGCTAGATGTTTATTGCTGCGTCTTCGCCGTTAGTGTCCTCGATGCGAGGTAATTACGTTACGGACTGGATCGTACCGAGAGTACGTATACGTTAATAAACAACGTTCTCTTGGCCCGACGAAGTTACACTGTTACGGCGTAGGAACGTAACACCGTGATTCGATTAATGCGATAATTCGATTAATTCTTCGGCATCATCGATGCTCATCCGAGGCCGGTGCAACTCGTTAGACCTCATTGCTCGATGTAGCTCGCATGCGAAACTTGTATAGGCGATTTCGATGGGGAAGTACAGAGTCTATCTATTACACATCTACTTCCAATACTGACCGTACGAGTAAGGGATCAGTCTGAATGAATTCGGCCGAATAACACGGAAATATGGAGAAGTTTTTTCACACGAAATAGAAGCTCGATTCGAAAAATAGGAACTTTATCGCGCGAGACTTACCCGTTGATAAGTTGCTACGGAAAAGGTTTCTGTCGTCGGGTATAAGCGAAGCGAAGGAAACTCCTCGCCGTGTTGTATTTGCAAGGACTCGACAGTTAACACTTTCCAAGGAAGGAGTTGCCTCGACAACGAGCACGGCTTCGTAGCTTCAATTTAATAAATACGCGACTCTTGTTCCTCAGGGCGCGCTATTTTCGCTGGCGTCTATTTCCTATTTCCTTGACGCGAATACGCGCAATATCGAATTAGAGAGTGCATACGACGAATTGTATTTTCCGGCAATCGTGTACGACGATGAGACGAGCGTCGTGACTAGGCGAATCCTCTTCGTCCGTTTGTTACATCCGAAGAACGCGCGCGCGTCTTCTTCGAACAAGTGCGTCGCAGTTGGCAAAGTACTTTAATTCATTAATTGTGATCATTTTATATCTCTTAATTGTCTGGCTTAATTGTGGAATTAACGATATAGTCGTTAATATTAATCGTTAATATTAATTGATCTTAGCAAATTATTTGTTACAATTTTCATTTGAAGTATTTTGCATTATATTCCACCCGAAATTTCTAAACTATTTTTCGCGAGATTTTTGTAGATTCATTAACTCGGGATTGTACTTTTCTCCTCGCGTGTATTTCTTTTCTCTTTATGTGAAATCGAATTTCTTATCGATTTTTCGAGATGTGAAGTGGAAACTTCAAATACATAATTTGTGCTTCAGCACTTCGGCGCCTTTCTGCTTTTTCAGACTTCCTTATACCTTACTTACAAAGTTTATCTACGTTTTACCACTTTAATGTATCTATAATTCTTCTATGAGTGGTTTCCCTCGGCGGATTTGCCCTAGATCAATAATCGCGCAAGAGTATTATTATTTATATAATACTAGTAGGATTCTGATATATTTTCTAGATATATGTACATACTTATAAAATATTTCTGGTAACGAATGATACAAGTTTCGCAATTTCAAATATGCAGGAAATAAAACATTGGCAATACTGCCTTTTTAATGACATCTGGATTCATAAAATATGACACTCCACCGATTGTATCGGTTGGTGTTCTTCAGTTTTCGAGTTGTCAAAATCGCAGAATTCTGCACGGGATGGATGCAATAAACTCCCGCAGTCTTTGAGTCGCTTCGGCTCGCGAAGGCGAGCGATCCGTAAATTTTTCAGAGTTTTTCTTCATCGCGGTCGGCGGAACGCGATAGCGTGGGGTTTACGGCGCGTGAGAGCCCTTCTCATACACCATGCAGCATCTGGCCGCGGACCGATCGGTGTGTTCGCTCGCGCGTGTGCCTGAAAGAAAACTAGGATTCCGAGAGTTACGCTACGTCGTACCGTTTCCGCGGGAACAATTTTAGCAGATTGGAAATTAAAATTTCACGCGGCTCCGCAGCCGGGAGCAGCCACATCACCCGCCCTCGGAAACGTCGGAAACCCTTTCTCTTTAAGCGCGCCCCGGGACAAGCGGAAATGCTTCGTTACTGCATCACGAGGGTTCCCCAACATCGTTTCCT